ACTAATCAGTCTATAAAGTGGCCATCTGATGGCTGCAGCCTATAGATTACTGCTTTGTTTTGTGTTTTTCTGTGTCCTCATCGCCTGCGGTCATCCGCCTACATCGTATGTCTTTTTCCTGGTGCACCTTCACGTTCCTATGGTAACCAGCACCATCAGTACCCGTCAGCGTTTGAAGTGGTTCTGCTGAAACAAGCTCTGCTTAGTACCGATCACTACGCTGCATTTTTTGATCCTGTTGCTGAAAGAAGATCCACGTTCAAATAAGCCAGTTTTTCTACTTGCCACAGGCTGGTGTGAAATCATCACAGTATGACATAATAAATACAAATTTGAAGTGGACACAAGAACAAAACTGCTTTTGTTCAAAGCAGGAAACCAACAATTGATAACTGCTGCTAAATCAGTTGTGTGACTTGTACTCTTATTCTCTGTAACACATTTCTTTTTTTGATTCTGATACAAGAACTTATTTTAAAAATGTAGAAAAAAAACCCATGTGAAATTTAGTGGTTCCTTTCATGTGCATTTTGCTCAGGATATTATACCTTTAATTGCAATTATGCTCTTCAGAAAATTACATTGGGAACCAAACAATCAAATTTTGGCTTGGAAATTAGTCAGGCTATCTGCTGTGGTGGCCTTAATGCAGCTTCGTATATTGCTTATAGCGGAAATGATGCCGCTGACTCTGTTGAAACGGACTCTGCTCTGTTGGTTTACTACTCTTGCACTTCCCTAGTTTTGTAACGTTTTGCACAAGGCTCAATATGAGGAGCAGCAGCACGGAGTTGGAAAGCACCTTCGTTTTTACAAGCATACAAGTCATCTTTATTATTGTTACACAAACATCACACAATGCCTGAGAAACACACAAGTAGATGTGGGAATCTTTAGGTGCTTTATGGTCAATTTTCAATCCAGAAAGTCACAGTGCAATTACAGATCAGTTGTTGATTTATTTGGTTCCCCAAGTTTGTTGTTGTTAAACTTACTTAGCTCACTTTTTCTCACTCTCTCAATACCCTGGCTCCTCTCAACGTCTTTTATGGTTTCACCCTAGAAATCTTGCTAACCCTGGTAGGAGGAGTGCTGGGCCGTCCACCAGCCGCCCACTGTATTTTTGTGTTGAAAATTGTTAAATGTTGACAGGAAATTTGAAAATATGACTAAGCGGCTAATAATGAGGTGGGGAAAACAGTCTTTAGTGCGGAAGGTGCTGGTTGCAATGCATGTGGGTTTGTTGTGTACTCACCATAAACTGCCTGAGTTCTGCACTTTCACGCTTCCTACTTCCACCTTTTGTGTTCCTCGAAATTAGGTTAAAAATCAACTCGTCTTTTCCACGCAAACTCTTTAATTAGCACTATTATTCATCAACATTTCTGAAACATTCAGGTTTTACAAAATCAACTGGCTAGAGACGGGAATTTAAACGTTTTTGTTTGATCAGCTCTGATTGGTAAATAGGTCTAGTTCTCATGGATCAAAACCATTATTTTCATTCTATAAACAATCAACTGTTAATACAATTTTATTTTTATTAAATAAAAATCATATTAACGTAAGAGACAAATTCTTTGATGCGTAAAATGGAATTAAGGAAGTTTGGATTCGACAGGGATTTCAATTGCTAAAACTTGTGCTCAATAACTATGATGAAGTGTGCTTTATAGTGTTGAGAGGTTTAAAAGACCTCCAGGCTTGTGCCAGTCCTAAAAAACTACAACTGAAGTCGACAAAGCTCTTTTAACAGCTTATTGTTATCAATAAGTTGGAAAAGAAAGTGAATTATTTTGGGTTGGTTTTAAATTTAAGTCATAACAAACTTTAAATGTCTTAAATTGAACTCACTACAGGTGCAGAAGCCTGCACCTATAGTGAGCCATTTTAGTGAGCCATTTTAGAGAGGATAAAAACATGCACTGTTCAGTTTCAGTGCATACAGTAGAAAACAGTTCAGGATCACAGAGGATGGTGGGAAATCTGAGGTGTGAAAATGTCAGAAGTGTGGCTGTCTCCACCTCCCAGTGTTGGAGTTTGACTCTGTATGGGGTCACCTTCTTCAACACATATGTGCTCCTTGCACAAAGCAGGCTGCTATGTGAATATTCAACCAGGAAGGGAGCGGTACGGGTCGGATACACGAGCCACTTTTACAATGGAAACAGAGAAAATAGCGTACCAAACCACAGCGACCCAAGCAGTACCACACAGTGGAAACGAGGCACAAGACTGGTGAAAACATTATGATGAAGTAGTAAACCGGAAAAATGTGGGTTAAATGTAATCAATACCGTCACATTTCTTTGCAATAGCATCTAAATTACATTCTTTCTTGATATTGCGCAGCCTTTGTCAAAACGACAATTTTAACATCAGAATTGTCCATTCACATTTACCAGGGAAGTCACAATCTTTGTGTTAAAGCTGGGATGTTATTAGCAGGCTGAAGTGTGAAGGAGGACTGACAGAAGACGGTTTCTGCACCAGAGTTAACAGTAATACATCTTACAAAATGCCAGTGATGGTAAAGGTGCAGGCATCCTTCCAGCTTTATACTCCCGTTTTTTTCCCCCTCTGCTGTCGCACTTCAGAGTAGTGGATGTCGTGATTTTATTTTCTATGTGCTTCAGTCATTTCTATTTATGCGTTTGTGGGTTTTTCTTTATTCATTCTATTTTTTTATACCATCAATCTGCAAGAAACTGTGTGCAAAAATAGCTTGTCAGGTTAAATCTGACATATTTGTCATGATGGACTCAAGTCCTCATGTTGATTAATGTCCACAGTCTTTTTCTTTCCTGCCCACGTTAACAAACAAACCTGGGGATGTTTCATCTCCAGTGTGGAAGCTGCACATCCACTATAATGAGACAGGATTTGCATTTTTTCTTAGCAAAACCTCTGACAGACGAACTTATTTATTTATGAGGCTATTTATTCTGGGTTCATCCTTGTTCTCAGACATCCACTGAGGGGGTTAGTCCAGCTCGGTTCTGGCTGTTTGACAGTCATTCTGTCTGGCAGTGCTGCACAGAATGATTCCTCTACTAAATATACACCAGATGCTCAAGATGCAATCAGTAGCACTCACCCAAGTTCACGCTCAAACAGTAGCGCGCTGATCCCTGCTGGAACATTTTCTCTGCTGCTGCTGCTCACAGAGGCTCACTTATAATGCTAAGAAAGCAAAAGCTTTAAGCTTGTTCAGGAATCCGCCTGTGTTTGTTTTACATAACCAGCTTTCTGATCCTCTTAATAACCACTGACCTTATGAAGAGGCGTTGACTCGACTCTGTAAACTTGTGCGAGAGGCATCTTGTGGCATCCATGTGGTTTACCAGTAAGGATGGACACTCCACTTGTTTGTCCTCTGCGTCCTTTGGTGTGGGTGGTGTTGAGACCTTTTAAAATCAAAGATTAGATCACTCTTGTTTTTTGTTTTGTGGAAACAAAGCTTGATAGTAAACCAGACAGAACAGCCCCTCAAATAAATACATAATTTAATTAATTTTATCGCATACGTTGTCTATATTAATGTTTTTAAGTTAAAGCTACAAATCTCCGTAGTTTTTTTAAATGTGATGATATGATTTGCTTGTGATATGTGTTCTACAATATACACATGTGCTGTGTGTAGACATTTTTGTTGCCTTGAGAACATTTTCGACAACTACTATTCGAGCACTCTACAAATCTGGTCGTCGTAAAAGAGTGACATCCGAAGACAGCCATTGTTGAAGGCCTTAAGAAGCTTTCATTACAGCTTGCCACCAGGTTGCGTCAAACAAGAAATAATGGAAGACGGTGCTCTGGTCATATGTGACCAGATTTGAGCTTTTCTTTGCCAAATTGTGCATGTGGTGGGAAACCAACAGCACCCTAAATACGCTATTCTTGGACTGGCCTAAACAGTTATTCTCTAGAAGTGTGATACGCTGATAAATACCTCGTCAGCAATTGCAGTGAAAATTGGCTCAGAAGGTTTTGACTCGGGGAGCTGCAAGTAAATACATATTCAGGTTTAAGTCCAGCTTCCATGTAATTATTATATGCTCCTTTCTATTGGCCTATCACAAAAAAACATCCCAATTTGAATTTTGCAGTCGTAATGTGACAAAATGTGAAAACATTTCAAGAGGAATTAATACATGAGCCAGTGAAAGATGTAGCAACTCTTTACACTTTACTGTGCTAAAACAGTCACTCACCCATTCAGTGACTCTTAGCTACCCCCATTTTCTCCCCTCATGTGTTGTTATGTTGTGCTTGGCAGGATAAGTGGACCCTGATAGATCAGTATTGATTAAACTGTATTTGCCAGACAGTAACTATGGTTCCCCTCAGGACATTGTAATCTCCTAAGACCTTCAGAAACGCTCCTCTCTACTGCTCTTAGAAGTAGAGAGGCAGTTCATGTTGCCTCCATGTTTTCTGCAAATTCATCTATTAAACAGGCAGCTTTAGAAGGGATAAGCAAGTTCAGAGGACTTATTTGTTTCTTTTTATCTTTGTGTGCAAATTAAGTCTGCATTTGTCGACTGTAGTAATATTGTTGCTCCAAGGTAAAGTTTTTGATTAGCAGAAACCTATACACTACCAGGAGTTTAAGTCTCTGTTTGAGTGTGTCCATGGAGACTTGTTTACAGTGCAGCACAGATGGACAGCCTCAGGTGTATCTGCTCAGAATCCTCACCAACAATACATCCATATTGATGGCATTTAGTTTTTATTACCCCATACAGATAACTGAAAAAAAAAAAAAACACAATGAAGATGTTTCATAGAGCAAACCAGTTCATGACATTAAGAAAAAAAAGTTTAACTAACAAACTAACACAATAAGTTAACTTATTGTGGATGTTAACTTTCCCTGTACGTAAAGTATTTTTTATTATGTATACCAAGAACAAGCCTGGACTTCCCTGTCCACTGTCAATACAATAACAAGTTGACTTCAGTTTTCTGAAACTTTTATTTCACTTTTCTTTTTACAGACGAAAGTACAGAGCTTCCTCTGCCGGCACTGTCACACCAAACCTTTCACTAATTGCTTTGCCTGCACAACTGAGGGCAGAAAAGGTAAGACTACTGCATATTAAAAAGTTTAATTTTAATATGTGAATGATCTATTTAGTGATGTGGTGTATGTTCTGATCAGAGATTATAACCAGTTGACCAGTGTTATTGAGCTTTCTGTATTCAGAATCTCTGTCTCTGTAGAGCTATTAAATTAGATGTTCTTTATTCTTAAATTTATCTTAATAGTTTCTTCCAGACGTTTCCCAATTTGAAACAAATTTTGTTTTGTCTCAATGCATTATTTATCTGCTCTTTTGGCATAAGAAACAAATTATTTGTATTGACTTTCTCTAAATATCTCAATGCAATCCTATGAAATATTCTGCTACATTAAACAAGCATTACCAAATACATAACTGGCATACAGCTCTTGAATGAAATGCACTTTAGCTAATGTTTATTGCAGTCTGAGCAGCTACTTCCTGTCGACGTTCAGTGTTTTTGTGATGATAATGTGCAGTAACACGCAGACCTGGTTTACATTTATGTTTTTCTGTGAAATTTATTATATTGTTCAATATATAATATAAAAAGGCATGTATGTTTTTCTAGTTGGAAGCTAAAAGTGTGAAAATATGACCTGCAGCAGCACAGGACTACGCTGTTTAAATCAGATCTGTAATTCCAGAATCATAGTCCAATACAGACGTTGGATCAGAAAGATTACACCATGAGAGAGTCATAGCCGTCCATGCCTGCTCACCATCGTTTCCTGACTTAAGCAATATCAGAGCTTTTTTTTCTGCTCAGTTCTGGGTTTCACCAATGAGCTGATTTGAAGCATTCAGCTGAAACATTTTCAGCTGCAAATGTTCTGAAAGTGTAGTCTAAATACAGTGACGTGGGACGAGCACAGCTCTAAAAACTTCACTGTTTTTGTCTTTTTTCCTTCAGCCTTCAGTTTTGTGTTTGTTTAAATCAAGATTTAGGTGTCTGGGATCTTTTAAAGTTGCACAGATATTTAAACGTTCAAACAAATTTTCATTCAGTTTTTAAATCCTTCTCGCCAAATCAATCAGCAAATGATGGCCGGTGGGCAGCAGTTCATTTTCTCCTGCTAACTCCAAATCATTAGTGTTTTTATATCAACGTTTGACACTTGCTAAATTAGTCCTCTCACCTTATCCTTTAGTCTTCCTCCTGCTCATGGGTTGTCTTGGTGTCATGGGACAGCAGCCTGGCAAACAGACGGATTGAAGTGACACACAGCTTTAGTGGAGATTCATCTGCACGAAGTAGACGGAAATCAGCAGAGACAGAGACTGCGGGGATTGGAAAGAGTTGAGGGAAGTGGGGCGACTGTGAGAGAAGTGCAGCTCGGTGACTCTCTGGTCTGAGGCAGAGATGTCGCCTCCAGATAACCCAGACAGACTTACAGGCCCAATATAGAGCAGAGTTGGAGGCCAGCCTGCTTTTCACATTTGTCACTGTTGTTTCTTGTCTTTCCTGTGAGAGTTTTGTTGGGAATAAAGTTTTTCTCTCTGTATTTCAAAGAACAACTTTCATATTTATGAAGTGGGATAGACTCGTGTCCCAAAGCAGGAGTAACATACTTAAATCATGTCATTATTTGGACTTCTATATACATCGTTGGAGGTTTTCTGTTGTTTCTTTCCTTTTTACACACAGCTGTAAGTGATCATTTAATTTTTCATGGCAGCAAAACATCAACAGGTAAATCTGCATGTTAAATGGGGGATGGAGGAAGTAAATCATTTTACTCCACCAGGGGATTGCAAGTAGACACACTATCGCTCTGCAGCATGTCTTTGTGAGCTCAAGGGAAACAATGAAACATTCAAACCCTAAAATATATACTTGGTTCACTTAAGAGCTCTGACATTTTAGCACTTCAGGAGTGATGCCTTTGTTTTTAGTTCTCCTTGCATTAAACCCATAAAAGTCTTGAAGGTTGCTCAAGACTTTTTACTCAAGACAACAGAAATATTTTCTGTAGACACTCATGATAGTGTAACAAGTATTAAAAAAAACATTATTATTCAACAAAGTGGTAGGTGAAAGTATACTATTTCTGTCTTCTTTTTTTTTTTTACATTTCACCCTATTTTATTTGGATCTGGTTTCCAGTTTGTTGAGCTGCTGTTGTGAAATATGACCCATTATGAACCCTGGTTGAATTAAAACGTCTTTTAAAAGCATGCCAGTTGATAAAAATGTTCCTAGTTTAAGATTCAGATTTTCTTTGAGTACACTGTTTGACGTCAAGGCAAGCGAGAACTGGTTCATGGTTATTGGAAACAGTCCTGCCACAGCCATTTCCGTTTTATAAAACCCTGAATACAAAAACGTCAAGATCAAAAAATGGCAACTTGACAAAATGATCGGTGCCCCAACATGTCTGAATGGATTTTGATGTGCTTGTGTAATTTTTCCTATACGTGTCAAGTACAGTTGACATTTAATGTCGTGACATCTGATTTATGGCTGCTGTTTGTCCTCTGTGTCTTTCTGTGCTTGGCACGATCACCTCTCACCAAACTGGATGAGCGGCGTATCAAAGTCCCGCAGTGTTTTTGTTTTTACCAAGTGTATATGTGGTTGAGTAACAACAAAGAGGGAAGATTCATTGCATTAATAATGCAACTAATTTTTAAATGCCAAAAAATTAACACTCATGTGGTCAAAATTTGTAGCTTAAGTTGTATTTAAGACTAGCACTTCCACTCAGTTCATTCTTCTATCAATAGTTGAATACTGACATAATTTTCTGCAGTAGACACAGCAGTAGACTGTTGTTTTTCAAGGAATCTTTAAGAATCGATCCTAAAATCATAATTTACGCCAGAGAACTGGCTTTGGCTTCTGCGCAGGAAAGACGATTCATTGTTTAACTAAAAATCAAAAAAACAGAAGTACTGTCATCACAACATACTTGGAATTACAAAATACAAAAATTGTCTCAGTAATTGAGAGATTTTAATTCTTTTTTTATTGTTAATGATCTTTCAAATGATAAGAACTTATCAGAAAGTTTTTTCAACTGTTTAGTTGAAAAAAGTTCAACCAAGTAGTTGAACTTTTTCCAATGAATAAAAAAGCATTCATTGGGAAATCTCTCTTACTAATTTGTTGTTGTTTCAGTTAATCAATGCATAAGAAGTTATTACTAATTGTACTGACGTGACATTACTAAATTAAAGAGCCGAGATAATGCTGTAATTGTATTTTTGTTTTTATATTGTTTGAAGATATTTGAAATACTCAAGACTGAAACCACATTTATGACTTTTACATTTGTCTAGTTTTCAAAATTCTTTTACTTTGTAACCGTCTGTTGAAACCAAGACTTGCTGCTATGTATCATTACATTTTATTAAAACAGTGTGTCAGTGCATCCTTAAAAAGTCTCAAATCAAATTAAGGCCTTTAAATGTCTTTAATTCATTAAAAATGTAATTTAATGACAAGTAACATGTTAATCACAGGAATATTACCTGTGATTAACATGTAATATGTTAATCACAGGTTAACATATTACATGTAGTTTGAATTGAAACTATTATATGTAGTTTGAATTGAAAGCAGTTGAGGCTACCGCTAACTGGCTGCTTATAAACTGTTGCTAGCTAGCTAACTAGCTAGCTTTTTTTGCGTCTATCATTGGTAAGTGCAAATTATTGTCAGTTTGCTGGATGAGATTTGTCTTTGCCACCTGTTTACTCTTGTTGCCAAACTGCGATGCCAAACCTGGTCTGTCCTGGTGGCGAGAATGCTGGATGTGCTGCCATCACACCGGGGTCCAGTGCTGCATTGTCTTGCATGGCGGCGTCAGGCTCTGCTCCTGTCTGCCGTCTGCCAGTCGGATGTGCCACCATATCTTCTTCAAACTAGCCCTTAAATCTTTGTCCCTCCCACACATGCTGCTGCTGATGCGTTCACATCACCTCTGGATGGTTTGGTTTTGTCATCTTTTTTCATCACATATTTTTGTTGACTCTCAGAAACCTTTGAGTGTTGGGAGATGCATTTCTGCATCATGTGACTTTTGAATGTTGGCGTACCCTGCTGTAACATATGGCAGGTTGATCCCTCCTTGCCTCTGATCCAGTGGTTTTTATTCAGTCTTCTCTGATCTGAGGCCCTCTGCATTGATGTGACTGAGGAGCAGCAGCAGCGGCACCTCCTCCACAGTGATTACGCTCATTCCTTTGCAAGCTGGCCCTCTCTGCTTGCTCTGTCATTACTACCATCTAACCAGCGTAATTACCAGCCTCGGTGCATGTTTGTGGTGCATGCGCCAAGCCTGCCGCATGCTGGGCAAGTCAGAGCCAGTGTGCAGAGAAAGGAATAAATGATGGAGCCGTATTAGCAGTGCCACATCTTTAAGCTGATCAATCAGTGTATGTGAGCAATTAAAAGGCGTTAAATGTCTGCTCCTTATGCTCTGAACTGTGGGCCAAACCTTAATGTGTGCACGTAATTTTGACTGCAGCAAAGGATGATCCCCCCCCACCTAGATATTTTCTCAGTTATGCATAATTACACAAATTAAGTCGTCTCTTTATGTAACATTTCATGCATCGGCACGGTTTTCGTGTCCTTATTAACGTAGGTGTGTTTCAGACGAATCAAACAGACTGCTCTCTCTCATCAGCCACATAATGAAGCCATTCTCCAACCCCTGCAGCTGGGGCATATAATCTGGGATCGGGTCTCGTAGTGGATCACAGGACGGCCTTTTGAATGAGGACAGACTCTGTCAGAAAGCATGATCAGAGCAGGAGCCTTTGGCTCGGAAATGCTTTTCCTCCTTCATAAACAAAGACAGGACACACTGGTGTCTCACTTCAAAAAGACATAAAGTGAGATTCTGTTAGCCATGATTTAGATCATTAATGCTTTTATGTGTTTCAGTCCCAGTGTGTGAGTAATGCAGCCCAAAAATAGATTCAGCAAGGATGCAGATATCTTGTGGGCTCTAAAAAACACACCTCGTTAAGCTGGACTTGATAAATTTTTCAAAAATTCACACAAACCAAGATGAGCAAAGAAATGTAACCCCTTAAAAAACGTCTTTCTAATTGGCCTTTTCAGAGGCTAGGATGTAAGAATTGTTGCAAATATTTTAGAGCGCTTTATGGATTTCTTGCTTTTTTGCTTTTTAATCACTTTTCTATTCACTTAAATTTAGTTTAGTGGATTTAAACAGTCAAGATTCAACTCAATGTTTAAGTAAGTTTCTTTGACTATCTGAATATCAGCATGGCTATGTAAAAACATGTTGTTAATGAGCAGTTTGGGAGAAATAAGAAAATTATTTGTTAATGACTAAACGAACTAGAAATGTTATGAATTCAGAAACTTTTTAAAATGAAATTATATGTAAAATAATAGTTTTATTATTAGCAGAAAGGGGATTGTAGTGAATGCTGAAAACTACCTGAACGTTATAAAAGGTTTGGAGTGTCTGCAGATGGTGTTCTTGTGCACAGTGTGCAAATTCACTGAGATATTTTAGTGACTTCTGCAGTTTGAGGAGAGACTTATGGAGATAAGAGCTTTAATCCCAAAATGGAGTGCTGCGCAGATGGATGAATTAAGCACATTTTACTTTTTAACACTCATCTGCTGTCCTTATTTAAAATAACCAAACCTCACAGATTCTTGGGCTCATTCTTGAGTCAATTTTGAGTTTTCCTCAATTGGTGCGTCTCAGGACATTATTTTCAATAATTACATAAAGTGTCTCCCTATTCAACCAGCAGTTTCGCCATTTACACAGCAAATACAACTGTAACCTATGCATCAAAAACATGTTTTAAATGTTATCAACTGGTCTCATTTTTTCCTCATTTTATCTCTGCACAGACTGTGATTATAAAACAGATGAAGTGTTCCATATAAATAACACTGAAAACTGGTTATTTTAATGAGAACAAGACCCTTGCACCAGATGCTGCACGAGGGCCAGGCTTGATTTCTTCCCTTTAGTTCACAGACCAACATGTCACCAAGCTCCCATTTCGTGCTGCATCACCCAGTGAAGTCATACTGTTCCCTCAAAAGAGAGGAAAAAAAGAAAGGGGGGAAAAAAAAAAACGTTCCTAATGTTTTAACAATGAAAGACCTCAAAACAAAAATATCTTGTTTTTATACACTTGCCTATTCTTAATAAAGGGGGATAAAAATGATTTTCAGTTTGCCGAAGCATGCCTCTGAATGAGCCGCTGTCCTTGAAAGGCCATTGGATTAAGAGTTGATGCTGTGTGACTGTCGTATCGAAGCACATCCATGTGGTTCACTGAGCAATGTACTGTGCTCTTTCTTGACTTTTTCCCGTCGCTCTATTTATGGCTTCACCCAACCTCACCCCTCCGGCTGATGCTGTGTCACTGTTGCCCTTTTCTGTCTTCTGGTATTTATTCATCCCTGTTAATTTCACAAAGACATAATTGTCTCCCTCTGTAGAAAGAGAAGAAGAGAGTGGAAGCTTAGATTTTTTTCCCCCCTTCATTTTCATAAAAAAGCTTGCCTTTAGCTTATTGTGATTTTACATGACAGACCAGCCCAAATTAGTGCATAATTGTGAAGACACAGTTACAAATGAAAATCAAAAATTGGTGTTGTCCATTTTTTTAAATTATTTATTTATTTTTAGCTTCTTTAGTTTCATACTCGGCTCAGCCAATTGCCTTCAGAAATCATCCATCATGGTGGTGGCAGAAACATGCTGAGGGAATGGCTCAGCTCTCATTTCAATTGAGGATCTATAACAAAAGACTTGGGAAATACTCTTTAAAGACACTCTGTATCCACTCTCTCAGCTTGAGCTATTTTATAAAGAACTAATTAAAAAAGTAATTGCATGATAAATTGTTCATATTTTTGTTATTTCAACCTAGAGCTGAACAATTTACCAAATTCCAATCCTCACAATATCTGTGTACACAATTGTGGAGGTATATATTTAAAGTGATAATATTCCATGTCAGCCTCTTGAAGGTTATCCTCAATGGGAGAAATTCTCTGTCATATCTCATCACCATGTTTTCTCTCTGGCTTATCAGTCTTACAGTACGTTTCAGCTGAGTGAGTTGCCCTCCTGAAGCCAAAGCTCATTCTGGTTGTGTGGTTAAAATTTGGGTCACGCAAGCTCTTCGATTTAAAAATGAGCCCTAATTTGTTTTATATTTGTTGAATTAATTGCTTTCTGTTGTTTTTTTTTCTTTCTCTTTCAGAAAGCTGAGAATAATCCTAAAGAAAGAGGATCCAGACTTGTTCCATCATGCACCACTGAATTTTCTCCATCTCCCACTAAAGGCAATGTTTCTGGGAGCGAGAGGCCACAGCAGAGTGTGTGTGGGGCCCCTCCCCAGCACCCCTCCTGAGATGGGATGCCAGAAGCCTTCCCACCGGCCCTGAGCTCTCCCAGGGCGTCATGAACACCTACAGAGACAGGGGGGTAACCTGCGTCTCCTCAGACCTTCTGGATGGAGGCGGAGGGTTACCCCAAAACGCTCCACTCCGTCACACCCCCAATGGCCACCCCACAGAACCAGCAGCACAACCTCGCATCTCTGTGCCCAAAATGGGTGTTCGTGCACGGATCGCCGAATGGCCTCCCCGTCGCGCGCAGTCTCGGGAGTTGCTGCTTGAAAACGGACAAAACGGGAACAATCACTACGACGACTGCTCCGTCTCGTCGTCGGTTTTGTCATCCGACGGCAGGCTGGTGCGAGGAGGGGTCGCCAGGCTGCCCCGCAGATGGTCGAAGGACGTGGAGTTCAGAGGCGGGGGGTTCGCCGGCGACAGAGGCTCGCCTCTCAGTCTAAGAGTCTTCCCACCACTCAGACAGCGCTCCAACAGTGAAGTAACGCTCAGCGAACAAGATGAAAATGAGGTGAGCCCGAAATATTTCTCCAATTTCTGTTTTTCCTGTGCGTTGGAGTTGAGAAGAATAGGATGTGTTGTTTCCTCGTGGCGGCAGTCCAGGTTTTCGACACAAACCTCTTGCTAATGAGGTACACAGATGGAAGTCAGTTTGGGTTGGCCTGCAGAAAGCCATGGTTTGCTTTGCCTTGCCAGCTGTATTTACAGCATTTGTGGGCTTAGATAAAGTGTTCCCCCAAATATTAGAACTTGAAAATATTAGTTTGCCTCTAATGAGTGTAGTCTGCTACATTTTCTGTTTGTTTTTGGTGAAATACTGTTGATGTAGAATGGGAAAATGGTTGCCAAACGAGCTTGTGTGGTGTAGAAGAAAACACTATTTTACTGATGGAGATATTTATAAAAGCCCTCACTGTTAAGAAATTCAAAGTGTGAGAAAGACTCTATTTTGGTTGAGAGAAGGAATATCCTCTTCTCCTTATCAGGTTCAGCAAAGTCCCAAAGCTTCAGTTTTAGTTTAGGCCCCAACAAGTTTTATAGTTCTTTAAACTGTACAATTATTTCTTCACTTTTTTATCAACTGAATATTTTATACAGTATAATATGCAACTACAACTCCTAAAAATTTAAATATTATGTAAAAGTTCACATTTTTGTCATTAAAGAAAGTTACATTCATTCGTTATGACATTTTTTTATTATGATTAAAAACATAAATAAATTCATTGTTACAGAATACAAACATAAAAAATATGACAGGTAAGTGTTTGAGTTAATTGCAGAAACACCTGTGGATGAATTCTGAGGCCTCAAGTACACTGCTTTCTTGTTTGAAATTGTGGGAAAATCTACATAAATCAGCCCAGACATCAAGCAGAGTATTGTGACTCCTTCTTGGTTGCAGAAACATTAATTTGTTCAAACAATAATATTCAAGTGTAAACACCATGACAGTCCCCTGTTCATTGGGTTCTGTCCTCCAGCGAAGAACAGGTTTTGGTGCAAACTGTGTGCGTCAGTCCCAGGACAAAAACAAAAGTCCTTGTAAAGATGCTGGTTGAAGCTGCAAAGAGTGTCCAGTGTAATTTTTGAAATCCCATCTGACCTAGAACAGTCAATATTTATTTGATTGAATGTTAGGAGATGTAAAGAGTAATGTAAGGAGAGTAAAAAAGATTATATTCTTTTTTTAAAAAATCTTTAAAGTAGGATGTAAAAAAGCATGTTTGCACATACTGTTTTTGTACAGTATGTGCAAGTTAAGTGAAATATTAACTTGCAGAAACTGTATTACTTTGTCGTTAAACCCCCGCCCCCAGAAAAACAACTCTTCCTGACCTTTTTCCAATTCCAATTTCTCTTTGTCTTGCCTTCAGGTGGAGGCTCGAGGTGGCGGTGGGTTTGGAAACCGGTTCCGAGTGTACGGCAGCACTTCTTCCATCGACATCCAGGGCATTCCCGAGCAAGGCTTCTTTGAAATGCTCAGTCAGTTCCAGCAGGAGAGACCTGACCAGCGCAGCTCAGCTCCCACACAACTCGGAGAGCTGCTGCGAGTTACGGACCCGTCAAAGACTCCTTTCCCCGGCGCTCCCTCCCCTGCTCCCACAGGTGGGGATGACAAAGGAACGGGGCGAAAGGACGGTACGGAGAGAGCGAGGAAGAAAAGTGGTGGGACGGAGTCTGCGCTGGGTACTTCCTCTCTGTTCAGGAAGCTTCGGAGCTCCAGTCGGGGGGAGCTGGACGGAGGAAAGGGAGAGACTACCGAGGACAGGGGAGGCAGAGGCTCTTCAGATGCCTCTTATAAACCCTGGGTGTGTCCAAAGAGCTTTGTCCACTTTGATGCTCAGAGCGTCCTGTTCGACCTCCACGAGGCAGCAGCTCAGCGCAGCTTTTCTACTCAGCGTAGGAACACCGCCACCGGAGCATCGGCCGCATCGTCCTTGTCTGGCTCCAGATTGTCAGCTCCGAACCTGAACGACCCCATTTACTCGAGCATCGAGGATCTGACCCTTAACCTCGATCAGAGCTCCACAGTCCCCTCCCTACCTGCGGACCCTATAGATGGGCCTGCAGCGCACACTTCAAGCCCACTGCTCCTCTGCTGTCCCCACTTCCTCAACGAGATAGGCGGGCATAGGGAGAGAAACGTGAGCTTCCTCAGCTCCTCAGCAGAACGAGGAGATGGAGATGGAGGAAGAGGGTGGCTGAGGAAGAGTAATGCCAGCATATCTGTGCTGGAGATCCCTGTTGAAGAGCAGGAGATGAGGCTGGAAAGACTGAAACTATACGGCATAGAGCATGTAGACCAGGGGGCTTGCTACTACAGAGACTACTTCCATGGGAAAGGTAACGCTGAGTTTCACTGCAACACATTTGACACGCGGTGCAGGGATGGACTGTTAGCTAGTTTGGTTGGTTGGTGGCTGGATTATTAGCTCAACGCCGTTATTTCAAAAATATGACATATTTGTGACAAAATAGTTTTCTTTTGCTGTAGACTTTAGATTTATGACCAGAACCCGACCGGAAAACCTGCTTGGTCGTGTGGTTCTCAGGCTTCTGTTGCACATTTATAAAGCTTACAATGCATAGAGCATGAATAAAAATAAACAAGAATGCATAGTATTAAGTTAATCTACTTGTTATAGACGAAACACATGAGGCAGTAGTTCACCCTGTTGAGGAAAAGAAAGGAGCAGATGATCTTTAGACAGTAACAGCGCACTGCACATTAATGCGCACCCAACCTCGTCCTGCTCTGCTCCTATCAATCACATATCCCAGATGATTTACGCTTGATTTACCCATCGGGCACAACAAGAGATAAGATGGAGCTGGAAATGCTGATAACTGGAGAAGGGACACTGCTTACTCAAATCATAGCCTAAAAACAAACGCAGTGAAATCGTAATTAAAATAGTATGTCTGCTTTACTTTGGGCTTGGGCCTGTAATTAAAGTTAATTAGTCAGGTCAGATTGGACTTGAACACCATGTCTGCTGCTAATAGCGTTAGTCATTGCAACAGAATAATAAAATGTGCCACACCTCACAGACAACTGAAGCTTTATTTTATCTCACAGTACACTTCCTGTACTGTTTAATGCTAAAATCCCTGGAACCTCCCTCTGTTCTCCTCAATCAATCTTTACCTTTGTCTTCTATAATGTGGTGCTTAGACGCAGCACTTCACTGTATTGATAATTGGGTTGAGATTTTTCTTCCAATTAAGCATCATCATCAGTGTCAGGTATAAGCGCTCCAAATTCTACGAGGGATCCCAGTTGAGAAGCTGCAACCAAAATTTATTTTTATACTGGTATTTAATAACTAAATGTTGTCAACTATATTTACTCTCTTATTCTGTCGTTAATGTTTGCCAGAATCTTATTTCCAAGATGTCATCCACTGGTTTTGAATAATCAGCTGGGACGGAGCAGAGTTAAGTAGACTGGCAGCCCTCCGGGAGTTTCAATTACACATGTTGTACCTGCTTTTGGTCGGTTGGCAAACTCTGAGCTGATGATACACAGGCAGCGCTTGACACCTGAGCCATCTCAGTTTTGTTTTACATCTGGCTTTTAGTGTCAGAAAGTAAGTGGTTAATGTGATCTGTGTGGCCGTTTGTAGTCGGCATCACCTCTTCAGACACTTTTGACGTCACTTCCCCTTTGGCAAGCGTCATCTGGCTGCGGACTAATTAGTGACAGATGTTATTAGGAGCATGCATGCAGACAAGCATGTTCGAACATCGTATGCGAGGAAGACTCAGGGCTGCAGCCGCACAAATAAAGGTTATTTAAGTCTTCTGACCCTACGCTGTCCCCCTGAACGCCACTGTAGTTGTGTTTCTGTCTTCGCTGTGGCTGCGGCCCCTGTGGATGTCAGGATCTTCATCAAAAAGCTGACATTTTTGCTACAAGCAAGATAATCAAACACGAGTCTCCTCGCAGATAGGTTGTCCCAGTTCAGTCCAGATAGAGGAGGGATCTGCCAAGTTGTATTCATCCTGAAGAGTCTGGATAATTTGTGTTTACGCTGCTGTGCTGCTGCCTGTGGCGTTCGCTAGAAGAGGACTTAGCTCTGAAGCTTTGGAAGCAGCTGTGCGAGATGCTTGTGCAGTCTGTCAACAGCTTTCACTATATTTAATAATTAGAAACAGTCCAAGTTGATTTATTTGGAATCAAAACATTTTGAAAACTACACCTTTTAACCTTTTAAAGGTGACAAAGGAAATATTCATCTTTGTGGTGGTTGTGTTTTAGTTTAATTTTATGCACCAATCAAAAACTAAGATTACATTGTTTTCTTTATGTGTTAAGGCCCTTAAAATTACAACAGATCAGAGTTCAAAGATAAACATAAATCAGTCTAGGCCAAGAAAAGCCTTATGATGCATCGTTTAGTTTAATCATTCTATCTATATGTCTTCATCGTTCCCACATCCAATAGAAGTAAAAGATCTGATAACTATCAACCACATATTTCTTCAACCTTTTCTTTGCACCCAGGTCTTGACTTAACTTTTTCAAACTGATTATATCAATTATAATATAGTAACGGTGTCTGCTTTGCCCATGACTCAACAAATTCTCTTCTCCTTTCCATTTTGTAAACATGTAAACCAACTCACTTGCAACTGCTTCTTGAACCAACAGTTAAAGAACAAACTTCATTACATCTGTTTAAGATCTATATCATATTTTACTTTTTATGACCATTGTAGTTTAAGCAAGGAGTACCAGCCTCTCCTGTGTTGTAGCCATAGACATAACACAAACCTCATGTAAACAGATGAAAATGTTTCTCAGCACAAACTGTAAACTTGGCTAACCGTTGTCCTTCACCAGAGCACTCCAACTACTTCGGGACGGACGATAAGCTGGGCCCCGTGGCCGTGAGCATTCGCAGGGAGAAAGTGGAGGATACCAAAGACCACAAAGACCAGTACCAGTACCGCATAATCGTCAGGACCAGTGAGGTACGCTCGTAAAGATTTCTGATTGACAATGCAGTGATGAGTCAGGTTAATTCCTCACCCAGGTTTTCAGTCCCTGTCTGTCCCAGTTTTTCTCCCCTCACCCATCAGCTTAAGCCTCGTCTCTGTCCTGCCACTGGGAACATTCCACCTGTTCAGTGTGTGCACATAAAAGCCAAAGTAAACACTATCTGCTGTGTCTGAAGCATTTGGCATGCCTTCAATGACAACTTTGCTTTGCTTTCATGGACAAAATATAATGCAACGTGTGAACTGGGATTTTTTTTCTCTGGTTAACCAACACAAAGTACTAAATAGTTGTGAAGAAGAATTAGAAATAGGTTAGGTTTTTTTTTCCTGAGGAACCATCACTGAGACAATTATTTGTGGAGCCACACTCTCTGAGTTTATACCTTTTCAGCTTTCTGCATCTTGAGTAGAGACAGAAATGTTTGTCTATTCTGCTTTGCAAAACACCTCAGGCTCAGGCAGACTGGATGGAAAGCACATATGGATTTTTTTTTTCAGATCTTCTGGTGAATTTTGCTGTAGTCGACGTCGTTCTAACATTAGGGTTCGGACGGATGCTTGAAACCCTTGAAAATGTTTGAATTTCAGTTACCAAGGTTTGATAGTCAAACTGCCCTTATAGTCAAAATAAAGTGCAAGCTAACATTTGCACTTTCTGTAGGTAATAAAGTTTGGAAAACAGTATTTTGAATTGAAATCAGCTTTATTATTTAAAGATAAAAAAGAGAGACATGGATATATTTTATCTCACTATCTGAAGTTAAATCAGACCAAACTTCTCTTGTTTTAGGTCAGTTAGAATCAACAAAATCAGTCCTGTTTGGTAAATGCCAGAAAACTTTGTGAGAATACTTTTTAGAGATTAATTTCGTAATTTTTCTCAGACCAGTCAAGACAATTCAAAACAAAAAATTTGTCATATTTAGATATTTGACTTTACCTTGTTGATTGTAGAATACTATCATAATATATTATTAACAGTGAATTGAAACTGTGTTCTATTTGTGTTTGTTTTTCTCCACATGTGATGCTGTGCTAGAAAAGTTTGAGCCTTCACTTTGTTTAAATTTTACTGTGGCAAAAAGTGTATGAACCCTGCATACGTACATATGCAGCTTCGCCTGTCAGCTACTGTATATGTATTGGTGTTGTTGATTTGCATAAAGGTGAACCTCTGCCCCAGACAGAAGCCTCTTGCAGCCTCTAACAGGGTTTCTCTGGGTTTCTATGTATTATCCATCCCAGGAAAAAACATCCCCGCAGCATGACACTTCCACCACAATTTTTCCACAATGTGGATGTTGTATTCAGGATGATGTGCATGAGAGTTTGCATGTAAGCCAGAATGCTAAATTTAGATGTCATGTGATCAGGAAGTGAGATTAGATTACATGCAGGTAGACTCTATTTATAAAGAGGTGACTACTAGAGGTAATTTGTTATACTGGATTTTGTTATTCCATATCACATCTAAGGGTGTTGAATATAAGTGCATGCTCTATGCTTATTTGTTATAATGTTTACCAGATTCAGGGTCAGCACTTCCAAAATTTAAATAAAAAAAAGAACACGACATGGGTCTTGAGAGTCTTAAAAAAAGTCACTCCTTTTTGTCTGAATTGTTTGGTTTTTTTTGGTCTCAACATTGTAAAAACTCAAAAACAAAGTTCCCCCCATGTTCATTGTATTGATGTGGTCTTAGTGGAAGTGAAGTCTTCATTGTGGTTGGTATGGTGTTGTCTTTAGCTGGATTACATGGCTGCCTGGCCTCATCACTTTAGCTGTGATACAACAATGGAGCCTGTCTGCTCAAGCTCACTGAGCTAAGCTAGCAGAAAGACTCCTGCTGTTCCCACAGAGGGGGGAAATAGAGAAGGGAGACATTGATTTCTGAATTTACTCTGTCCCACTCAAGCCGCAGCGCCTCTCAAATATCCTTCCCCTCTAAGTATGTCATTTAATTCTGCACAGCGGTGCTGACACAGCAAGGTGAAGAGAGTTGCTCTCTTTGCCCTCCTTTCTCTCAGCCTCACTCCCCCCCGTGTTTTTTTTTTTTTTTTTTTTTAAATCACCCCCAACTTCTGATATCCCAGCTTAGCACGCCACTCTCTCCACCGCCGCACAGGAGCTGACGAGTTGAAACAAAAGCTTCATAACTTCAGTTGCTTGTCAATCAGGTTTGATTCCTCTGCAGCAGATTCCAGCCTCCAAGGTTCAGCTGTCACTCTCTCTCTTTCTCTCTGGCCCCTGCCAGCTCCAGAACGCGTTATGCATTTTTAACGACTCCACATGTGAGTGAAAGGGTTGTGAAGAGAGCAGCCCACTCCTCCTGACTGTTTCAACCCCATACAGGATCAGTCCTCCTGTTATTAAGTGGGTTAATTACTGGTCAGTAGGGGACAATACACTTTGACTGTATGGATGTGCTGCAAAAATATTAAATCACACGTTTTTCTGTGTGTGTGCTTGACAGGGAGGGTGAGGGAGGCACTCTTTCTTGCTTCGGTGGCCCGGTTTTACCACTACCTAAATATTTAACAAAGTTTGTAGTTTCTTACTTAGTTTTTAGTGCAAGTATGTTATTACACTTATAATAAGACAAAACTAGCATACAAGCAACTTTCTTATCAAGATATATTGAATAAATAATTCTTGAACATTGATAAAAAATTACTTGTTCCTCTTGCAGATTATACTTATTTAAATCAAGATATTTTTTCCATGTTAGTGAAAAAACCTGCCAGTGGGGTTACTACTTTTTATCAACATTCAAGAATTTCAAACTTAAAACAAGCTAGTGTATCTTGCTTGAAGGCCGCTTGTGTGTTAGTGCTACCCTATTTCAGCTGTACCAAGATATTTGCACTAGAAACAAAACTGAAACACTTGGTAAGAGTTTGTGTTTTTGCAGTGTAGGTCAAGCATCAAACATGTGGAAGAAGGTGGTCTGCTCAGATGAGGCCAAAGTTGAACTTTTTGTTTGTGTGGAGAAAGGTTATCGCTACATGTCATCCCCATAGCAACACATGATGTTTTGTGTAGGAATGCTTTTCTTCTTTATGAATGGGGTTGATTGGGAAATGGATGGCGCTAAATGCAGGACATCCCGTAAACATACTGGAGGCTGCAGAGCAGAAGACTTGAGACTGCGGTGCAGATTGACCTTCCAGCAAGACCATAACCATAAACAAACATCCAAAAGTTAGAAAAATTCAAGAGTATAAAACAAACTATTGTCCTCGTCCCAATCCTTTTCTTTTTGTCCCCATGTAGCTCGTGACCCTGCGTGGCTCCATCTTGGAAGACGCGGTGGCATCGACGGGGAAACACGGCACTGTCCGAGGTCTTCCGCTCAAAGACGTCCTGGAGCAGGTCGTCCCTGAGCTCAACGTCTCTTGTCTGAGACTGGCGCTCAGCACGGCCAAAGTCACAGAGCAGCTCCTTAAACTGGACGAACAGGGGGTGAGTTTAAGGCTTCTCTGGATGACTGGGGGTCAAATGCATTTTCTGATTTTGTGTATCAAATTATGAATGTTCTCAAAAGGCCTGTTGTGCAAGAATATATTGACGAAACACATTCTCAAAAACCTTAATAAATAGATGGGTACTGCTTAAAATTGAATAATATTGGACGTATTTGTACTTTTATCGGCTGCTCCTGCATTTTGCTATTGTTGTTTTTTGTTGATTTTTTTTTTTTTATTGCAATCAAAATCACTGATTTGTGGTGGTAATTACAATATTTGCACTTGTAAATATGACAGTAAATGTAACTTTTTATGAAAAGCCACATTGATAACGGACTATAACATGACATCATTAGGGTTGAGGAAACAGTGGAGTAGAAATTAGAAATACTGTCACTTTCATGTGAGATTTTGCATCACTTAAGCCCAATGTTTTTGAACATTTTGTGGGAAATTTACAATAAACTCACAGTTATGCATAAGCGCAAAAAAGGCACAGGAAGTTGTTGATTTTCTGTAAATTTCCACAATCGTAGAGTCATAAAAAACCGGAGGAATTGATTGATGTAATTTTCCTGTATGCAGAGAAAAAAAAACAAACTGCTTTTATTTCATTGATAAAATAGTATTTAGGCACACAGCTGTAGTGTCATGTTCCTGTAAAGTCCAGAGAACTGCAGATGAAGAAGCTATGGCTGACCAAATTTGGCCTCCAGGCCTTGAGTTTGAAACACACTGGATTCATGGCTATATATCAATTTGCAGGTATTTATGAATGTTTTTGAAGCTTCTGCTGAAGTCCAGTAGCTACAAAAGAATGCAAAGTAAAAACAGCATCAGATAAGGCAGAACAGTGACATATGGTTTGCTCAGACGGTGTGGATAATGTGACTGAACCGTGTATATGTGATTTAACGTTGGAGCAAAGTACAAAAAGTGGGAAGGGAAAGCTGTGTCGAAGCAGGGTGTGTCATGAGTGTGACTAAAGATAAAAACTTTAATGTTTGGCCATGTTATCTTTGAGCTGTTTCCTCGTGAGCTGAGTGTGAGGTATTTTGCCAGCAGTTGGTGTGGTGTTTGTGTAGGTGGATTATACAACAGCGAAACTGTACTGTGTTTTAGTAAGCACGTCCATATATAAATACACTTCACTGCTGGGTTAAAGTCTCATCCGCTGACAGCAGCTCAGGAGGTTCAGACTAACATCTCATCACTTGTCTTTGTTCTGTGTGTCCATGCACGTTGCAGCTGAGTCACAAGCACAAAGTGGGTGTTCTGCTGTGTCGTGCGGGCCAGAGTACAGAGGAGGAGATGTACAACAACGAGGAGGCATCACCCGCCTTCTCTGCCTTCCTGGGGCTGCTGGGGGAGCAGGTGCTCCTCAAAGGATTCTCGAAATACGCTGCACAGCTCGACACAAAGAGTGAGAGGCTCTTCCTTACTGGAATAACTGGATTCCTTCGTTAGCGCTTCCCAGATGCAAAATGAACACAAGGGGGGAAAGGGGAACTATTTTTAACAAGTAAAAAGTTTGAAAGTTTAGCATAACTGTTGGGCAGTCCATAAAAAGTCTTTTCTTTTTCTTTTTCAGTTTTGAAAAAATCTCATCCCATCAGTTGATTTATGTTAATACAGTCGAACATTTTATTTTACCAAAAGTTTGAATATTAGCCATGCATCTGCTCTTTGTCCACTCGTGCTTGTCCTTCCACTCAACTTTCCATTAGGATGCTTGGACACAGAACTCCACATTGATCCTTCGCAAAGAGCCGTTTTTGACTCACCCTCGTTTGTCGAGGGTGTCCACGGCGGTCTGCTGGACTGTCGAGTTAACAGCTTTTCTCTCGATTCTGTATTATGTAATATAACATTTTTGGAGAAACTTAACTTTTGGTTTTCATTAGGTTTAAGCCATTGATCATTTTGTGTGTGATAAATCAACCTAAAACTGTGTTTCATGACAATAAATGACCTTTCTGATGATCTTCAAACTTTCAGCTGTTTTAGTCTGGTACCAAAACATCAGGAGGATTTTCTTTTCTTTTTTTTTTTTTTATTGATTTTTATAATTTTATGTAAACATTAACAAAAGTAAACTAAAACAACCCACCCCAGTCAACAAGGAGCTTTATTCTTCTTCTAGTGTTCTTATTCTGGACTTCTGGAAACACTGCGACTTAAAACAGAAAAATTGCTGTTCAGCAACACCCATCTGTGATCTACATTCAACATTAAATATAAATAACTTTAATTTTCCTCCCTCTCCCCAGCTGACTCGACAGGCACCCACTCCCTTTACACCACCTACCAGGGCTATGAGGTGATGTTCCACGTGTCCACCATGCTGCCGTACATGCCCAACAACCCACAGCAGGTAAACATGCTCATTAACATGCAAAGCTACCTGAGGCTGTATGCTTTGTAGCTGGTCAAACACTGCTGTGTATACGAGGAAAGTACTTCCCTCTGTTGTTGTCCGGAGCCTTTCAGAGCATGTCTGTGGTTGTGAGTTCAAACATCTCTTTTTGCTCTGAATAATAAAAGCAAGAATCCGAGATGTCGTAACCCGTGACTTGTTCGTTCTTCTTTTATTTTTTCTTCTTCTTTCATTTAGCTTTTTTGTGCTTTTATAGTCTCAGCTCTCTTTGCCTTTGTGGCTTTTCTGTCGGCTCTGCTTTTCCGTCCTTAACTGGCACAGCGCTGGGTGGGGTTCACCAGTGAGTAGTTATTAGTATGTTTTTTTTCTTTTTCTTTCTGCTTTAGCTTTTTTATCCTAACATAGCAGCCATGTCATTCATGCTCAGTTGTTTACAGTACATGCTGCTTGTAAAATCACTCCTGGAGGGCTTCTGCAGGTTCTTGAAAGTACACCAAAAAGTAATGATGAGACTTGATTTTCAGTTCTAAGTAAATTATCTTCTAGTTGCAGCTTCAATTTTTACTTCCAAAGTAATGGACTTATTGATATCTGTTTTGTAATTAAAATTAAACTTTAATGACATTGCATATTTTATGAGGTTTGGCTTGAAAAAGAGTCATTTAAATAATTGACTCGTCTTGCTGCTATAATACTGCAAAGGGTTCAAGTTTATAAACTTGATTAAAGCAGTGGAGTTGAAAGTTTATGTGAATATATTAATACACTAAATACATATTTGCTGTGGATTTTAAATGAGGCTCCTCAGAGTTCACAGCTTAAACCAATGTTTAATTTTCAACTTGTTGATATTTTTAAGGTTTTGGAGCTTCCACAACTTTTCAGATGACAAAACCTTGTATTGCTGTGAAAAAGGACTTACGTGAACTATTGCAAATAAAGGGGGGAGACATAAACAAGTCAATCTTTTAGCTTAATGTTAATACATTTGCTTTAAATTTCAATATTTATGGCAATTAAACATTTGATACATATTGAAATAGAGGATCTGAAAACCAATTTCTTAGTCATTGTGTAAAGTGAAACATGTTCAAATCAGGTTTTATAATATTTTCCGTGTAGATTGTTTTACTATGACTCAGTGCCCGGAGGGTTAAACTAAGGAATATTCAGGTTTAGTTTTTTTATAAAGAGTGGTAAGAATTGTAAATAAAGCTAATTACAGATCACTAATTTATGTACTTTTTAACTAAATAAATGTTAGGTCTTGGTAGATGTCAGTCATCTAAAATTATGCACATAAAACATTTACTACAATCTGTTAATATTCCAATATTGTTTGAAAAAAAAAACTTCTGAAATTATTTTATGGCCTCAGAGGACAAACTTTATTCTAAAAACTGACAGACCCTGTTGGATGAGTTTAGTGTCACAATAAAAGCTAAAGACAGAATATGAAGATGAATAAGTGGCACAATGACTCCATCTGCAGGGTTGAAGGCCGCAACAGAATAGGACGTTTTCTCACTACAATTAGCCTCTAGGGGGCAGCATCTGACTGCAAACATAATCCACTGAGGAAGCAGTAACCCAGCAACATGGAAGCTGACTAGAAAGCAAGAAAAGAGAGGGAGACAGCATATTTCTGGGAATCCCCTGAACTCCCCGCCACCTGTTCATGACCATAAGCATCATGTTCTTCTGGTCATGAACTTGGTCTTTTGCACACCAGACGTATTAAAAATGTCTAAATGTTTGAGTTCATCAGTTCATAAAACTCTCTCCTCAAACTCTAAACTTTAAACTTTCTTATATTGGCACCAATGGTTTATCTTGGAATGTTTTTTTTTTTTAACTCTTCGGTCTTCTCCCTGAGCTTTTTGTTGAAGTTCATTTAACTTTCCCATTGTTGCAAACAACACACCTTAAATACCTTTAAGATAGCTTAAAAATTTTACTTCCACATGATGAGCATGTAAAAATTTCCAACAGATCATGTGGAAGTCAGACTTTAAAAATCCTACATAGATCCTACATGTTTTCTGTTAATTGTATGCAATGCTTAAGAAATAGAAAACTAATTATTAAACCCTTTTAATCTTTTAAGTCTCTTATTTCTAGTTGCAACTGTAAATCCAAAACCTAACATAGATTAAAAAATTGATCCAAGCAGCAGATTAGGCTTGTTTTATGTTAGCGTATATTATAAGTGCAGATATTCAGACTACAGCCCATCAGTACCAGTAAATGATGTTCCTCTGGGCTGCATTACATAATTGGTACTTTCACACTTGTGTGGGGAAATGAAGCGAGAGCTGGCATGCAGCACAAGCTCGGCCTGGACCGTGTGCCATGTTTCCTACATGAACACTCAGACCCAAATAAACCCACTCAGAAGGCGATAAACAAATTACATAAAGAGCTGTCGTTTTGTGTACGATCACAGGCGTCCTAGTTTATGTTGGCTGCAGAGTCGGCTCTGACCAGTTCTGTGTTTCCTTTGCTCTTCCCCAGCTCCTGAGAAAGAGGCACATAGGTAATGACATTGTTACCATAATTTTTCAAGAGCCTGGAGCACAGCCTTTCACCCCTCAGAACATCAGGTCCCACTTCCAGCACGTCTTCGTTATTGTTCGGGTGCACAATCCCTGCTCCGACGGCACCTACTACAGGTAAATATCCACAAATGGTCTTAAGCTTTTTAGTTCTTCTTCCTCGTTTTTGATTGCTTCGCACTAATCCCCCTTTTCTTCCTCAGTGTTGCTGTAACACGGATGGAGGACGTCCCCTCTTTTGGACCACCCATCCCCAGCGGAGTCACCTTTCGTGATCCGGAGAACTTTCGTAACTTCCTCCTCGCCAAAGTCATCAATGCGGAAAACGCAGCGCACAAGTCCGACAAGTTCCACACCATGGCGACGCGGACTCGGCAGGAGTACCTCCGGGACCTGGCCGAGAACTACGTCAGCAGCACGCCCCTGGACTCGGCTGGGAAACTGAACAACCTCATCTCCCTGGCGTCTAAGAAACGTGAACGCACGAAAGCGAGAGAGAGAGCGGAGCTGGACGCAGACGGGGCCGTCGCCTGGAGAGTCCTGGCCCAGGACTTTAGCGGCGGGGCCGCAGAGCTACCCTGTGCCTTGGGAATATCAGACGAATACGTGGTGCTCATCGACTGCTCCACCAAAGAGGTGGTGTTCAATTGTTTCTGTAGTGATGTAATCGGCTGGACACTGGAGCGGCTGGCATTGAAGATCTTTTACGGGAGAGGAGACCACATTGCGGTCAGAGTACCAGAAGGATCTGGACACGACGTCACAGAGATGGTGCAGAGGTTAAAGGTGAGAGTTCCCAGCTTACACCAGTTCTCATGCAATCCGGTTTCGACTCGAGTTTATTTGTATAGCGCTTCTCAGCAGCAAGGCAGTTCAAAGAGCTTTGAATGATGAAAACATCTTACAGTCACCAAATGTGAAACCAGCAATAAAAATTCAATTTTATCAAATGTCGTCATCAAAATCATCAATACACATCAAATATATTGGTCAATGTTGCATTTACTGCTAAGCAACTCGAAAGAGGTGGGATTGTAGCTTTGATTTAAAGGAGCTCAGTGTTTCAGCTGTTTTGGGGTTTTCTGGAAGTTTGTTCCACTTTTGTGGTGCGTAGAAGCAAAATGCTGCTTCGCCATGTTTGGTTCTGATTTTGGGGAAGCAGAGCAGAACCAGAAGACCGGAGAGGTCTGGAAGGTTGATACAACAGCAGATCTTTAAGGTATTGTGGTGCTGAGCCATTCAGTGATTTATAAACTACCAACAGTATTTCAAAGTCAATTCTCTGAGCTACAGGGAGCCAGTGGAAGGACTAGAACTGGAGTGATGCCGGTTTTAGTGACAACATGAGCCACAGTGTTCAGAATCGACTGACATTAAGATCTGGAGTAACTGGACCAAACTGATGCTGTGTTAAAAGGAGGTCCTGCACCAGCAAGGCAGTCGGTTTATATAAGATCTGACATTTCTGATGGAATGAGCCACATCCAGCCAGAATTACTCTGCTGGTGACCGTGTGGTTTCTCTGAGATATTGATGAAATTATGAGTTGCGATACATTTTCTTTTGCCTCTGTAGCATGTCTAATTTTGTACGTGTGTGGATTAGAGAAAATTCACAATGTTTTCAAATATGTTCTTAAAATGAAGAGAAATTCTGCTCTTTATTAATAAAAGTTTGTTCAATGAGCATTCTACTTGCAGAAACCTTTCATAAATGTAAACAAAAAACAAGAATGTTGGTTTTTGTCGGACTACTGTAAGCTAATTACTTTTGAGGTTAGAGGGGCTTTTAGGAAGCATTGTCATTTTAGTTTCGTCAGGCTGCTTACATTTGAACGCTTACCATCTCAGATGTTTTATTCTTGAGTTGCACGCTGGGAATTTCCATTTGTGGGAACGGGGTTATTCCTAATCTCTTTGGAATTTGTTTGGATCCACCAGGAAACCTGTGAATCTAGCATTCAGTGGTCAAATAGCATTCAGTATGTTGTCGACAGATGCACCTATCAGAGATTTCCTGCATGTTTTCCAGCTGACAATTTTCCAAAGCTTTGCCTTGTCGAGTTAGATTTCTCAAGAATCATATTTATCAAAATTCAAAATGCTTTTTAATGCTTTTTTAAATATGTCTTTCTCAGACATTACATTGCCTGAGAACATTTGATTTTCTTAAAGCAAAATGATTGAGTTGATATTTTAAGTTTAAGATTCCTTATTGAAATTATGAGACATTTTTGTTTGAGCTTCATCTTTAAAAGCCTCTTTTTAGTGCATTTTTAATGTTTTTATCTCCAAAGTTTGGTCTTGGAAAAGTTTGACAACTTACCTTGAAAATGTTTGAAAAGCGCTTGACTTTTACTGCATGAAAAGAGAACAGTCTCTGAGTTTATTATTTGGAGAAACAAAATTACCAAAATGTTTGTAGCACCGAGACAGGAGACTTGAAGTTTGGATCTTAGTGTTACTAATTCATGTGTGCATGTTGAAGTTGTCCACGTTCCAGAAAGAACAAACAGTGTAACTGTAATCCTTGCCTGCAGATGTTGACAGTCGGGTGCGAGACGGTGGACATGACGCTAAGAAGAAACGGACTGGGACAGCTGGGCTTTCACGTCCGTCTGGACGGCACCGTCTCCGAGGTAACGTCGGATGGCTGTGCTGGATTACGGCCAACGAACGCGCTGGGCTCTGAATGACTTCCGATTCGTTCTGCGCAGGTGGAGGAGTACGGCTTCGCCTGGCAGGCGGGACTGAGGCAGGGCAGCCGCCTGGTGGAGATCTGCAAGGTGGCCGCCGTGACGCTCACTCACGAGCAGATGATCGACCTGCTGAGGACGTCGGTCACCGTCAAAGTGGTCATCATTCCTCCATACGAAGAGGGCAAACCTCGCAGGTGTGTATGGACATTAATCTACTTTGCTTGTGGTTGAAACGGTGAGCGATTTTTGTTTGGAAGATATCAAAGAGGAGGAGGAGAAGAAAGAGCTGCAGTGGAAGGGCAGCAGCGAGATACAATGAGCACAGGATGCTCTTCACTGAAACACACAAAAGCAGTGGCCAGTCTCCAGTGTTCTGAGAGGATTTTGTGTGGGAGTGTGTGGAGAAAAAAAAAAGAAGAAAAAAAAGAGGAAGCGAACCAGCGGAGAGACGGCAACGTGTAGCTGGAGTGGAAACAAGCGAAACGAGGCACAGAGACAAAAAGCCAGAAGCATTTGTTGAACAGGAATTAGCTAAATCTGTCGGTTTTTGTCTCTTTTTCTGGATTTGTTATCTGGCAATCTCCGCTAGTTTGGTCCTTCTGCAACAATCTTTTGCTGCTACACCCTTTTTTTTTTCCCTTTTTTTTTTAATCTTCTCATCTGTGCTCCAGGTCTTGAGTGAGCCTGAATAAAGAGCCATTATTAGATGCTGGTGTGGTTTTGCAGAATGGTTATAAAAGAAAAAAAACCCAAGCACACTGTGTGTGTTTCTGAGCATCAGAGCTCCTAAAAGCCATAATTGTGGCGGGCTGTGTGATCACACTGTGGTTGGATTCCTTTAATGTTGGAGGCAGTTTAATTACTCCAAGTTAAACCCTTTCCACACACGCACACACACAAACACTTCGAAACACTGAGCTGTGGCCTCGGAGCAGCTGATAATTAGAGTCTTTGCATTTCACTCTTCCACTCTGACTTGATGGCTGCTGTGTGCCAGGCGAGCAGATTGCATGAGATTAAGGCTTGGCATCTGCTGGAATGGAGGGGGGGGGAAGAACACCAAAAAAGGGGAAAATAAATAAAAGAGCCGACATGATTATTGAAAAAAAATGTATGCCTTGTGTAAATAAAAAGAAAGGAAAATAAGAAGGGAGAGGTGGAGCGACAGAGGGAGAGAGAGGCTGGGAGGAGCGCTCGATGAGAAGGACGTGTCTCAGCGCCACCGAGAGTAAGAGGAGTGGGTGGAGGCGAGAGGGGAAGAGAGAGATGAAAGTTGGAAGGCTCCGTCTCGGCTGCGAAGCCACTCGACGGATGGATGCAGCAGGAAAAAGGCGTGGGTCTGACGGTGTGTGTGTGTGTGTGTGTGTCTGAGCTCCAGCCGTGTCACCTCAGCTAATGTGATGGGAGAATTACTGCATGCTGACAGACGTTAGGCTCTGCTCTCTCTGAGGTTTGTATTCCCCTCGAGTGTGCATGCAAGGCTGGGCTCTGTGCAGCTGATCTGTATCGATATTGATGATAGCAGAAGGTATTCTTTATTGATTTAAACAGTCCTAGTACACATTGCCTTCATGGACATTGATTTGTGGGGGGCGGTTTTGTCCCTGGAATGCTGCTGTGTTGTAGAGGCTTTTTGTTGTTGCATGTTTTCTTTATGTAAACCTAATTATTCATTAGTTGATTGCTTTTGTCTATCTTCTAAAACATTTCCCAGAGCTAACAGTTCTTTATCAGTTTTTGTATGCAAACTGTTAACCCTGATGTTGTGAGCTTGACTTTTTCGAGCATTACTTCATGTTATAATGTAATTCCCTCATTCGAAACATACCTGGAGTGTTGTTTTGATTCTTTCATGCATGTTTGAGAAATCCTTGAATTCCACTCAGGAGTGCCCAAACGCTTATTTACACAAACCTCCTACACCTGGCTCCTCTAGACTAGCGGCAGCAGTAACTGGCAAACACCTGGTCTAACTGCGAGTCTACTGAGCTCATTATACAAACTACTTCTCAATGCAACACTCCTAAGGAAAGGTTGTTCACTGCATAATGGAGGAGTATTGTTGCGCTGATGGCCGAGTGTCAGAAAGAGCAGGGCCTTCTTAAAGACACAGAGGGGCTTATGGCTTTTTATTTGATTAATTAATTAATCTATCTAGGTGATGAATTATCTTCCCCAGAAACTGATTTAATTTTTTCACTCCTCACAAACAAACAATTGGCTGGAAAACATTTCAATCAATGAAATTGATTTGTATAGCACATTTTAAGAAAATATGAATGACTCATAAAAATGGTGTCACTTGAAAACATGGATGAAGAGTGTTTATTATAGTTCACATTGTTGAGTTTCACTGCAGCCTTAGATTTTATTAAAACTCCTGAAAGACTCCTGAAAACCCTCCAGTAATAATTTGAATGTCCATTAAACTATAGGAATAACCTACTATAAGCTATTATACAGACTAAACACAGCGATTATTGTTTCTCTTCTGTTAGTTTAGCTAATCATCCACCTCTTCATCTACTTTTTGAATCCATCATATTGTTCATCTCCTTTCATCCTAAATGCCAACTTATCGGCATGTTTTAAAACCTGCCTCTCCTTTAATAGGCCTCAATATAAAATATTGAGATAGGAGCTGATATACAAACAAAATGAGGAAGACACCTTCCAGCAATGAGCTTCATTATGGATGAGAGTAAATGTCAGATCATTTTCACTTGAAGCCTGCACCACCCATCAGATGATATTTTACTTTTGGGCTCCTAGAACTCACAATTTTGTGACTTCATTTTTTTCTTTTTTTTTACCTTCATAAAATATCTTGTGTATTTACATAGAATTTGAGTGAAGAGCTCTTTGGTGGGTAAAATCAGTAATGTCAGTATAAAGTACACATTTTCACAAAGATGTGAGCTAATCTTTCTGTACCAAAGATGAATGTTTGATTTGTCATCAATCAGCTGTTTTCCTCATAGGAGCTCATTAATGAGCTCTGTTACATGTCTGTTGATATTTAAGCCTCCATGTGAACTGTAATGTTGGGTATTCAGAGTGAATATACTGAACAACTTTTCCACACTGATCTTGATTCAGCCGGAGTTCAGAGGAAGTGGCAGTCTTTCAGCTGTGCTTTCCACTAATTCACTGCAGAGAATCCTTTAAACTGCAGATGAAGGATAGGAAAGAAAGAAAAAAATGTAGAGTTTGGACATGTGAGCAGGAAGGGTTTATTTGTTTGATGATCTATATTTAAGCATCTCTGCTGTCTCTCTCTCTCTCTTCCCGCCTTTAGGGGCTGCACAGAGGAGTACGAGATGAAGACCATGGAGCAGAAGCCTGAGCCTGAGCCTCTGGCAGCCGGATACCGACCTTCTCTCCACCAAACATGGCGATGGGAGAGCTCACCCATTCCTGCGGGACTCCTGAATGCTCCCAACATGCCTCGCTGGGGACCCATGGGCCCTCTGCCTCCTCCTCTGGCCCGCTCACACAAACCCCTGATGCCAGTTCCCTACAGAGAGCCACAGCACTTCACCTCCAAGAGGTACCATCGCCCAATATGGCATGAGACTCCAGGTTGCAGCAGCAGACTGAGCTCTGATTTTGCAGCAGGGATGTAGTGAGGGCAGTGCAGCTTATCAATAAACATGAAAGAAAGCAAGAAATAATTCATAGTAAAAGTTGCAGAGTTGTCCCGAAATGGTATTAGAGAAGCTGAGTTGTTTAGGAGTTAGTAATAAAGCAGAGGGCATATAGGTATGATTTACATAATGCATTTATCATCTCCATGTCTTGATTTTGGCCTGAAACATTCATCCATTTGTTCGTCCGTCATGGCTGCTATCTATGCAGGATTATGGGGGCTGGTTGAGTTGGAGGTGGGGTTGCTGGTCCATCGCAGGGCAACACAAGCACAAAGCCATGTTCACACACAATATTCCCAAAGAGCAATTTAAGAAGAACCAGATAGTTAACATGCATGTTTTGGACTGTTTGAAGCTAGAGTACCCTGGAAGAACCGATGCAACAATGCAACTCCATAGAGGGAACTTAAGCAACCCATAATTAAAATAATACATGTGCACTGGTCATCTGCGTGTTTTACAGGTGACCCAATGAAACTTCTTCACTTCCGAAACAATCTCAAAATTGCAGCCTTAAATATTGGCCGATAGTCTATTGACTCAGCACTAATCACAGTGCTAATCATCATTTTGTAGTCTGGAATATTAGAAAAATCTTAAACTTCTTTTCCTTTTTTTAATTATTGTTTTTGCTCTTCTCTTCCAAGGCGGTTTTTAGTCAGACCTTAGTTAGAACTGACTACCTCTGTTATTCAGCATGGTTTATGTAGTTTAAACTCCATATGCGCCTTCTTTGAATGGTTTCACACTGCCCACTTCTAAAGTATTAAAAAAAACAAGTGTTTTTCTCACTAAATTGGAATCCATTTTATTTATGTTATCACAGTCTTGTTCATATTCATGACATGTTCCCACACTACTATTGTCTTCCAGGCCTGTAAGTTACCCAGAGAACCACTACAACGTGTCTCCTGCAGGAGGCGACAGAGTCCTGCCCTACAGAAACCCCTCTGCCAGCTTCTCGTCGCCCTCCACGGGGCTGGTCGCCCTCTCCGTCATGGGCTCTCCTGGAATGACTCCAGGATCTTTTGTGCACTACAAGCAGTCGCCTGACAGGTGCGTACTGGCATGCTTGGGGTTTCCTGAATTTTCTCCTTCAGTCTTGGCTGAACATGTCCAATGTTTCCTGTAATGACTGTTTGGTGAGCTGATGGAAGATTACTCCAGTTCAAGGAAGAGGGTGAATAATGTCTGGAGTAAGAAGTGAAAAAATGAACACACTGTCTCTCCCGGAGGAAGGATCTGTTGTGTGGGTGGCTCTTCCTCACAGTGTGGAGGTTGATAACATCTCACCCAACCAGAAAAACGTGTTTATTCAACTGCCAACAGGATGCATAGCAACATTTGGAAAAAAATTTTTTCCATCATTTAAATAGAAATGGTTTATTTCAGAAGTTTATATCTTTGTCTTTTGTTTTTTGTTTTTTTTGGTTGCCTCCATATTCCCTTTACGTATTTGTAATTAAGTTTACTCATCCAAAACCTTTGTTATGATTTGTTTAGGTTTGGATCAGTACAGCGCCCCCTGCTGCCCTATGTACCGCACTTCAGTGTGGACATCACTTCGAGTGGAGAGTCTTCCTCAGGGTTCATCAGTCAGGAGAGCACAATGGAGCGCTGCAAAACGGGTATCAAATTCAAACTAAAGACTCAAATCGATTCAGGAGTCTGTTCCTGGTGTTTCTCTTTTAGTTGTGCGTACGAAATGATTTCAGGCAAATTTTCTGTGGAGCTGTTTTTTTTTGTGTGAGTTCATTATAATTCGTACTGCTGTGCGACTCCTCCTGACAAAAGTCAAGTCTTGAGATTCTGCTCTCTCCAAGACATCTGTTGTTCAGCGTGTAAACGTCGCGTTTGAATCTGTAAACCGGGATACTCTCCTCTGCAGACAGGAGCCGTGGGTTGACATCACAGGTCCAGCTCTGCATTGGTCTTGATCCAACATCTCACATGGAAAAAGTTCCATCAATAACAACATCTTATCTTATGTTCCCAATGTGTGCTGCAAAGTTCTGTCTTCAGAACTCTTTTTATTCTTTTTCTTACTTCTTTGTCATAATGCTGCTACTTGGCATTATTTTCACAGCTGCTTTTAATTTCATCCAGATTTCCACCACGTTTATGTTCCACTGAAAGACACTGGTGAATGTTCAAAGTTTTAATGAGAGCAAGGCTCGAGTCATGTGGTTTAGACCCAGCAGCACCTGCAGAAGTCCAACATTTATCTTTTTTTTCCTTGGCATAAAAAAAAGAAAAAGAAAATGATCACTTATGTCATTGTGAAAATGGATTAGCTCCTGTTTGTGTATCTTATTTTCTCTTCCTTGTCTTTTCTGTTTGGTTTTATTGTACATGACTTTGGTCAGCGTTGTTATTTGTAAGATGCTTTATTTGTAAAGTAGTATGTTATGACTAGGTACGTCTTTTAATCAGTTGGATTTCCTGCTACGTCTCCAAGCACAGAGTTTAGTTACCGCTAAATAAACATTTCTGGTGTATGTGGACAACAAAAAATGCCAATTCCCGATTTGACTAAATGAGTGCAAAGACTGACTATATGTCGAGTTCTCAGATTGCTTTGTGATTAGAACTGGGGGGGCTTTGAGTGATGTTGTGCAGAGGGAGGTCAGCGTTTAAATGTGCCATAAGTATTTAATCCTCTTTGCCGACCATTGCCATTCAGTGTAATTTACTTAATCCAGTATGTGCGTGTTTTCTGTCTAGAGCCTCTCTGGCATGTCCCAGCATCATCGTCTCGAGGACCAGGTGGCGGAGGGGGGCAGAGGAGAATAACGAGACAGGATGTCCCGGCCAAAGACTCTCCAAACAGACACTCAAAGGTCAGATTCATGTTCAGGCAGTTTCATCTGTTCCTCTCTTCTCGGCTTCTTTCTCTGACCGGGTCCGCCTGATCTCCCTCCAGGTCGAGGCTCAGTACTCCAGCCACTCCAGCAGCAACACGTTGTCCAGCAACGCGTCCAGCAGCCACAGCGACGAGCGCTGGTTTGACGGCGGACCTGGAGGAGAGCGGGTAGGCGGCGGATTTCTCGGCGACCCGGTCGATCCAGACCCGGACCTTCTCAACCAGGGGGGCTCCAATGACAGCGGCATCGACGCCTCCACGCACTACAACAGCGGCCACCGCGGACACAAGACCGGCAGCCAGTCTCACAAACCCATGCACCCCTCGGCGACCTACAGCGGCTTTCCGGAGCTGTCCGTGGGAAGGAGCAGCAATGGCGGGGAGTCGAGAAGACGGGAGTCTTCTCCCATTATGCCAGGCGCTGCCAATCAGAACAGAGGGTACCCAACCAAAACGTTCCCCCCTCCCAGCTCCAGCGCTGAAAAAATGGACGCTTTCAAACCAAGGTACGAGTCAAACTGTCATGTCGAATATTGAAAACATTTTAGAGGACTTTTAGTCAAACCATCTGCATTTTCCACAGCGCATAGCAGCGTTAATCCTTGTGAAACTTACAGATGATCATGAGATCTATTGCATTAGAGCTGCAATAGATCCAGCCTGACATGAACCACTACAGTTATTCAACACAGACTTAGTTCTGGATTAAAGCAATCTGTATTTAATGCCAGAGGGCCAGTGCTGCAGGCTGTTCCAGGGAGATTTTCACCAATCCAGCTGATCTCACAAAGAGGAGGAAAATGCCTCAATGCAATTTTCTATCTATTAACTAAACTATAAAATTGTATCTTCATAGTCTTAGTGAAAAGCAAGGATGGTCTTTTCCAGTCCTTATGCATAGAAAAAACTAAATGTGATCTAAATCGGGTGTTTAAATTAGTTAAATATCACACAGATGATCACTAGATGAAACTATATCCTTCTATCTACTTACGTAAACATGGTCTTTTTCACTGAATTAATGAGTATGCCCTTACTGTGAAGATGTTGTGTTGCAGAGATTAATTATAACGGCCTAATTAAGACCTACACCTGATTAAAACGCTGTTCAGAAATATAAATTAACTGAAACAATATTCAACTTACTAAGTTTGCAGTAGACTAAGAGAAATCCTACAGAACGTTGGTCTCATGTTGTACGCATTTCATTTCAACAGCTGCTAAGGTGTGTTATCTTATTTTAATCAATAATACTCCTATTAAAATACAACTCCATATATACTTCTTGTTTTCTGTGACTAAATCACAATTTGCACAAATATAACTTTGCGGAATCAAGATATTTTATTTTAGCTTTTCTAGCACAACTAAAGACTTACAAATTGCTCATGGTTGTAAAAATACTATTTGCAGTAAGTGCTCATAACTCAGCATGCACGTATTGTAGGATTATTAAGCTGGTCACAGAAGCCCAAGACCAACCTGACCATGAAACAAATCATTTTGATCCAGCCCAAGATTTTGGTTGGGGTTCATAGATCTAAACTCTAACAGTGAGTGAAATATGTTCCTGTCTGTGTTCAAAGGGCCTTCACACCACAGGGCTTCAAGACGCCGGCGGCGGAGAAAGCGCGGCCCGTCCGAGCTTCTACGACGACGCCCACCTCGGGTCAGATGGGCTCCAGCCCTTTGTCTAGTTCCGCCCCCAAGGAGTTTTACGGGAAGAGCAAATCGAGAAGTCGTCACACAGAAGAGACCAGCGTATCATCTTCAAACACTTCCAATTCTGAGAGCAACAACAACAAGAAGTAAGTCAGACTCTGTGGATTCCGGTCGGCTTTGAGTCGCTGCTATCTGTGATCACAACGTGAAACAAAACGGCTTCATAGCCGTCTAAATAAAGCTGGCTGTGACATTTCAGCCTTAAACAGTTTCTTTCTATGCTCCGTGGTGAGATGCTTCAAGCTGCTTGTGGTCAGGAAAACCAATTTGACGTTTTTCTGTGTTTCGGCAGGCTGGTGGATACGAATTCAAAGAACGTGTTTGGGCAGCCTCGGCTCCGGGCGTCGCTGAGAGACCTCCGGTCTCCACGTCGGACATACAAGAGCACCATCGAAGACGACCTGAAGAAGCTGATCATCATGGACAACCCCGGAGAGACGCCACCGTCCGACCCGGTAAGAAGCTTGCCTTGGCGGCGCTCTTCTGCTTCGTCCGCCTCTCTGCGTCTCTGACCGGCAAGCCTCGTCTTCCCCCAGTCTCCCAGGCACACCCTGCAGCGCACCTTTTCAGACGAGTCCCTGTGCAGCGGGCGCAGAGACGCCGCCTTCGCCTGCTCCGAGAACCAAACCACCTCCAGCGACGTGCTGTTCACCTGCACGCTGCCCACACGCAAACACTCGAGCTCCTCCAACAACTCCAGCCACTCGCACAGCAAGAAGAGTGAGTTTCAGCGCCGAACGAACCGTTCGCCTGCCAGTGTTCGTCCTGTAGCTCATCGCTTCCCCTCTCTTCCTCCCCTCAGTGCCGCTGTCCGCGTCGGAGTTGTCCCTGACGGAAGTGAGAGACAAAGTTCCTCCTCTAAGGAGGCTGGACCCGGGCCTGATGCCGCTCCCCGACACGGCCACCGGGTTGGAGTGGTCCAGCCTGGTTAAAGCCGCAAAAGCCTTTGAAGGTGAGACAAGTACTTTTTTTTATCACATTATAAACACAAACTTCAATGCGTTGAATTTAAAGTGGAATGCAAATGACACGTAGCTTTCAATTTTTCACATGAAAGCCGATTTAGCACTTTAAATCGGATGTTAAACTTGTTTGTACTTTGGGCTATAATAAAATTATGAATGTCATGAAGGGCCAGTTGTGCTAGATTGTATTCATGGAACCCAATAACAAAATACTAAATGTTCACATCGATTAGTTCCTTAAGGTTTCCACGATTGTTTTTATAATCACAGATTTTGTTGAAATATTTGCAAAAAAATTTTTGCAATATTTGTGCTTGTATGCAACAGTAAATGTGACTTTTTGTTACTCCCCACATCAACCATGATGTATAACTTGACACCAGATAAGGTTGAATCAGGGGTGTCGTAAAATTACATACTGCCACCCACAGGTGGGAGTTGGCATTACTTAAACCCTGTGTTTTGTGTTTTGTCTTAATTGAAGCTGAAAAGCTTCAATTAAGTCATGGTTATAATTTCACATGGAAAAATGTGGGGATGTTTTCCAAGATCACAGAATTGTGAAAAGCCAGAGGGACTCATCACTCGCAGAGCAAGAAGAGTCTGGAGTTAGTGGGCCACTTAAAAAAACAAGGTAGCCCCTTAAGTTGGGCATATATGAGCTGTCAAGGTAAAGGTCAGAAAGGACGTACAACACATCGTACATTAAATTTAAAAAAAAATATCCCAGCAGCTTTGTTCAATCATTACCTGAAAATGGAAAGAGGTATAGCAGGAGTTGAATCCTACCAAGACACCATCTCTTTCTAAACCGACATGCAGAAAAGAAAGGAGACCAAGAGAGTCGTCGTAACTCTGCAGTTTGATTTCACTCCTTCACCTCACGGTAGTGCAGTTATGTTGGTCCAACACTTATGCTAATGAATTACATGAAAGTTAAATAAGTGTGACTAATTTTGGAAGCCTCTGTGAAACAAAACTCTTGGGGAAAAGAAGAGGTCTAGGCACTCATCGTTGTCTCTGCTTCCCAATCCCTGTTCCTTTTCGTGGTCTGTCTGCTCTCCCTTGAGAGCCGCAAAGCAAACCAACAACTGGCAGACACTTGATCCTTCCCTGCTGTCAGCTCCACCTGTGACCATCACTGCGCCTCCTCTCTCTGTAAAAACCAAAGGAGTCTTCGACGCAGCTTTCTGCTGCCGCTCTCAACGATCCTTATCATTTCATTTGTTCTTTTTTTGTCTTTCTTGGTGTGTTTTATTTTTATTCTGTGTCACAATGGGAGATCTTTGTGATGTTTGTCTGTGAAAAATGTTGTATAAATAGATTCCTCTCTCTCATCGCAGCACAAAGAGCCGTCTCCCTGTTCTCACTGAACGAGCCGCAGCTTGGAGGTCCGGAAGCGAGACAGACCGCCAGTCCGGTTCAGTTCAACACTCCTCAGACGCCGCGGACCACGCCGACTTTCAGCGGGTGGGTCTCCTCTCCCTCTGGTAGAATCACCTCTATTAGTGCTGCCACCTGGTGGTAGTTTGCTTTATTGCCTTGGCTCTCATTTGGAAATGCTGCATCTTGGAAACAACTTCAGCTTCTCGCGCTTCGAAAGAACTAAAGATGAAAACCTCTTTAGGAAATTCAGTCCAATAGGAGAACCTTTGATTTGCTAGTGATGTGACAGTAACACTTGCTGCGTGTGCTTCCAGAGATGAGGTGCCCAACGACCTGTCGGGTCGGCTCTTCCAGCTCGAGGTGATGCTAAAACAGCTGAACAATGATCTGGAGAAGGTAAGACTCCATGAGGAGACAAATAGACGCAAATACAGAGCAATCGTGGAAGAAAACCTGTTAAAGCTGCAGAAGGCCTGAGACTGATGTTGGAGGGATGGTCCAGTCAAAGTCCAACCTTAAACCCTGTTGCAGATATGTGGCAAATTGTGAAAGCTTGACTTGAGATATTTTTGCAACGTCGTGTGGGTAAAAATGAACCCTGCGTAGCCGCTTGCAGCCGTTTCTACAAAGTACTGGCTCAGGAGTGTTGCAAACAAATTTTGAACATACCAAAAATGAGTGACTTTCCCTCCCCGATCCAAAGATCCACTGCCTTCTCTTGGGTTGCCAGCCGGAGCGTCATTTCTTTGTTGCTTCTCTTTCCCAGGAGAAGCAGGATAAAGTCGTCCTGCTGGCAGAGATGGCGAACCTGAGAGAAAACAACCAGCGGCTGCAGGAGGAGAGCCTGACAGCCAGCGAGCAGCTGCGCAAGTTCAACGTGCTCTTCACCAACCTCCAGACCGGAAGTGACCGTGAGACTCAGCCTGTGACGCAGGACGCCAGCTCCCAACGGGAGTGACGGACCGGAACCAGACGGGGTGGGGGGCATATTTAGCTACCCAGTGGGACTGCCTTAAACCAGATGCCGTGAGAACAGACCACCTGGACTTGTAAACAAGCAGCTCTCCCGGAGAGTCTGCACCTGTGTGTACTCTGAGCCCGTTTATTTTTCTAACCTGAAGTGAAAACATCTCATTGGACTTGTGATGCTACTATGCCGGAGGAGCAAGCAGGAGAAGACTGTTTTAGAGAACACTACGTCACCTGGAGAGGCCTAATACTGTTTCTGCAACAAATCAGCCAAAAAAAAAAAATAATAATTAATCGAAACTGCATCTCCCAGAATGCACTACACATTGTGGAAGCTCTACAGGTATGATTATACAGACGCCTGTGTGGTACGATTCTCATCATCAACATCACACTAATAAACTAAATAGAGAGGTGTGAGTGTGTGTGGGTGTGTGTGTGTGTGTGCGCGTGTGCGTGTGTGTGTGTGTGTGAAAAGCGACAAACAGACTTGTTTACTGTAATATAAACCGTTCAGGCTCTGTTCTCCGTTAACGAGGATGTACTGTGGCTCTCAGACGTGAACCGAAGCCCCGTCGTCGTTCTGACCTGCGATGATGTCATGGAACTAAACTCAGTGAAACAATAACACCGTATCTTCTCGGTTTGACTCCCTGCTTTAGCAGAACCTGAACATCTCTGATCCAGAACCTCTGGATCTTTGTTTTAACCTCAGTTACTACAGTGTGTCTCTTAAAGAACAGCCATGACATTTTGAGTGTTATGCTTTCATTTGGAGACCCGATCTACAGCGATGAAACAACAAGATTAGGTTGTCATTTTATAAATAAGATAAGTTGACTATAAATTATTTCACTTTTAGTTCTATTTTAAAGGGGGAGGTGTTATGTAAAATTAACTTTTTGTTTAACTTTATCATCATGTTATTCCCTCAACAAAAACGTACCCGAAGTGTTGCTTTGATTCTTTCGTGCTTGTTCTGTAAAACCTTGAATCTCAGATGGCAGCTGTTCAGGGTGTCTGTAAACGCTTGGTTTGTCAAAGCTCCGCCCATGTCCACGTAGCTCCGCCCATGTTCACATAGCTCCGCCCGTTTCCACAAAGCTCCTCCTCGGAGCTGCACTCACGAGCCGAGCTTCAGCCTCCTAAGAACGGCATAACGAGGAGCATTGCTGTGATGACGTGCTGAAGGCGGGGTGTTAAGAAGAGTAGTAGCTTCTTAAAGAGACAGTGGCCCAATAACAGCAGAGTGGCCCAGTTATTATTGGGCCACTCTGCTGTACTACAATATGAGCCTGGAAGACGCATAATGCCTCCCTTTAAATTTTCAAGCCAGTAAATGTCGAGTCCGACTGAAAAACTGACGACTGTTTTTTTTTTTTAAGGTAAATCCTTCTCAGGAGAAAAAATGAGCCTAATCCCTCAAAATGTCAACCTGTCCCTTTAATTTGTCAACATGAAGCTCCGTCGCCCTGGACATGTACTGGCAGGAAGCATCGACTGCACGTAAAAATTCACTGAACGACGCTGTGTGAGCGTGTGAACAGGTTCCTCTCAGTAAACTAAGATATCGTCAAAAAGTTCATTCATTTCAGTGATCTCATTTAAAAAGCGACATATTTTATTCCTGATAGATTTCATGGACGCACCGTGAAGCTAATTAAAAAAAAATAAATCTAAGTCTGTCTCAGAGGATTCAAAAATAATTTTAAAATGACTAAAGCAATTTTCATTTCAGAACGTTTTCTCCTGGCTACAGTCATCGACTGCAGGATGCTGGAGTATTCAAGCATAGAAATGGAAAGTAAAGTGGAAGAAAAAAGTGTGGAAGACAAACATGTCTGAGTTTCACTTTTTGAAATTGAACAATATTCTAATTTACTGAGAGGCCTCCTTTGTGTGTGTGACCCCCGCCCCATAAGCTAAAATGAACCCAAATAAACAAAAACACTCTGTACACCCTCTATACAGCCTTCCTAATATTGTCTACTATAGCTATTTTCCTACAGAAGAGTGTGTTTTTAGGATCCCTGGTACTTTATGGACAATATATCCCAGCAGAGGATAAATCAGAGATATTTCTGATGAAAACGTCTCTGTACTTCTTTACTGAATTCTCCAACCCTCTCAGGTTCTTTGATGCTGTTCAGCGCTGCATCTCCACCATCAGAGACGATGTGCTGCTGTTTATGCTGTGTTCGGCGCCCCTTTAATATTTCTGGGTTGAAGGACTTTTTAAAAGACGCCGTCGGAGCCGACCGGTCTGGAAAACAGCTCTGTTTTGTTTGCATATAATCTACAAATGCAAGCGGAAATGCGAACTTGTTCATCAGCAGCTTACTAATCGTTCTCCGTGAGACGACAAAGTGCAAAGGCTGTGATAGTTCAGTAAGCTTCACGTCAAACGCGACTTGAAATGAGACGAAAGGTTTTCCTTCTGCTCGTTTTGTCGAAGTGCAGCTTCAGCTCTGATGTCGCCGACCGTCTGAGGTCCATCGCTTTGACCAATCAGACGGCAGCCACTTTGGCCCTCACGTCCCCTCACGGTCACAGTGAAGGACACCATCCTGTAGAAAACGTCTTTTTGTTGTTCACTCAGCTTTGTGGGCGTTGCCCTAACTTTAGTCTTAATTTCCTGTTTGCTTTTGTAAAACGGTTGCAGTTTCTTATTTTCTCTCTCTCTATATACATATATATTAACAAATATAAATCATGCTATGAATCATTTTTAAGCTATTTAAAGCGTACACAACTCCCCCTCCCATGTCGAACAAGGCAGTGACTTATTATTACTGGTAATTTTGTTTTAATGTTAAATATTTTTTGTAATTTATTTTTTAACCCGTTGGCCACTGTTGCAGAACAGTGAGGAGAAGATACTGTGTTTTAAACGTGCTGTTTTACCTCTGATTTCTGTTCATAGCTGATTTGTTTGATGCCTCTGCGCATCAGGGGTTCCTTCAGCCGAAACAAAAGCCTTCTGGATTTCTTTGTAATAACTTGTAAATTGTAAATTATGTTTTCATTATTTTATAAAAAAAAAATTAAACTATATGAACACGTGTTGTCTTTTTTCTTAAGATATTGTTTTATTCCGTATTGAAAGTGTCGGTGTTGAGTTCAAGTTGAGTGTATTTTAATATTTAAAATGATAATCTGATTTCTAATTTAAATCTTTTTTTTTTTTTTTGTATAATTTGATGCAGAAATTTTATTGATAAAACTAGAGAACCACAGCCAGACCAAGAAAACTAATGGCTGCTGGAGAAATTTACACACTAAAGCAACTTCATTTTAGATATTTAATGCGAACTGGAAAATATTTTCTATACATTTCTCTATACTTGCCTAACCTGGTAAAGAAAAAGAAAAAAAGCCTCTCGTCTCCCGTTTTGGCCGGGAAACTGCGGCACTTTTACTGCTCTTTAAGATGACAAAAGAAAGAAAACCGTTAAATTTTTTTTATTTAATAAAAATAAAAAAAATCCCTCTAGGTGACAGATCAAGTATGATCTTTGCAGCGTTTCCAACATCAGGAAACGCATTCTAGTCCCAGCAGGTTTGTTTCCAGACGGCCGCTCTAAGAGCCGCACATCAGGCACTCGTCTCTGTTCTCCAGAGAGCAAACCATGGCTGCCTTGTTCCTCTCCTTCATCTCCTGCTCCGAGGCCTTGCTCTGCTGCACCTCCTTCAGCTTCTCCTTGTTCAGGGTGAACTGGATGGGGTTGGCGGCGGGCTTCGTCCTCAGGTAGTACATGCCCGTCTTCAAACCCTGTGAAGAAATAAACACCGTCAGTTCAGCCTTCCTATTCCTGCTGAGAGCAGGTACTTATGAACGATTTGTCAGTTTGTTTCTTCATCAGTTGAGCTTAATAAAGTTATTTCTGATTTGCTAAGTGCGAGAACAGCAGAGCGACATCAACTGCTTAAGGACCAGTCCTGGTTTCTGACACCAAGGAATTTGCACAGATTTCTGTTTCAGTTTTTGCCGACATTTTGGATCTTCTTCCTTCTTCTGGACGTTTGGCCCATTTCTCCTGACAGAACTGGAGAAATCTGGTCAGGTTTAAAGGGTCATTGACCTCAAGTTTCATTTGAAACCCAGAGACGTGATAATCACAAGGAATGAAAACTTAAATTCATTATTCTCACTTTTAAATAACTTTTTCCCTAATAGAGGAAGCTTTCAATCTGATTCAATGTTAAACAGTGAAAACAAACATAAGTTCTGTAAATTTATAACATCTGGTTTTCAGAGTGACATCTCTCTGGCCTCAGTGGGAGGCGAGACTCGCCTGCTTCCAGCCGAAGAAGTGCATGCTGGTCAGTTTTCCGTAGTTTGGCTCAGCGATGTGGATGTTCAGCGACTGGCTCTGGTCGATGAAGGCTCCACGGTCTGCCGCCATCTTCAGCACCGTCTTCTGGGAGATTTCCCAAACGGTTTTATACAGCTGCTTCAGGTCGTCCGGGATGTCGCCGATGTCCTGTCGAAATCAAACGGCAATCTTTATTAGCGGAACCGAAGCCGAGGAGGGTTCACGCCACGGCGAGCCGACCGTCACCTGAACGGATCCGTTGTGTGCGATCAGCTTGTTCTTCATCTCCTCGTTCCACAGGCCGCGCTCCGTCAGGTCCTTGAGGAGGTGAGGGTTGACGATCTGGAACTCTCCGGACAGCACCCTGCGGGTGTAGATGTTGCTGGTGTACGCCTCGATGGACTCGTTGTTGCCCAGGATCTGGGCGGTGGACGCCGTGGGCATGGGCGCCAGCAGCAGGCTGTTCCTCACGCCGTGCTTGGCGATCTTCTCCTTCAGCAGCTTCCAGTCCCACAGGTCGGTCGGCGTCTTCTCCCACATGTCGTACTGGAGGACGCCCTTGCTGACGGGCGAGCCCTCGTACGTCTCGTAGGGGCCGAGCTCCGCGGCGAGCTCGCAGCTGGCCTCCACGGCGGCGTGGTAGATGGTCTCGAAGATCTGGACGTTGAGCAGCTGAGCTTCGGGGCTTTCGAACGGGTGCCGCATCAGGATGAAGGCGTCGGCCAGACCCTGGACGCCGATCCCGATCGGCCTGTGGCGCTTGTTGGAAGTCTCGGCTTCGGGAACCGGGTAGTAGTTGATGTCGATGATCTTGTTGAGGTTTTTCACGATTACCTTGGTGACGGAGGCCAGCTTCTTGAAGTCGAAAGTCCGCTCCGGCGTGACGTACATGTTGAGGGCGATGGAGGCCAGGTTGCAGACGGCCACCTCGTCCTTGCTGGTGTACTCCACCACCTCCGTGCAGAGGTTGCTGCATTTGATGGTGCCCAGGTTCTGCTGGTTGCTCTTCCGGTTGCAAGCGTCCTTGTAGAGCATGTAGGGCGTCCCGGTTTCGGTCTGGGACTCGATGATGGCGTACCAGAGCTGCTGCGCCTTCACCACCCTCTTAACCCTCCCTTCCTTCTCATATTTGGTGTAGAGCTTCTCGAACTCCTCTCCCCAGCACTCGTCCAGCCCAGGACACTCGCTGGGACACATCAAGGACCAGTCCTGGTTGCTCTCCACTCTCTTCATGAACAGGTCAGGGATCCACAAGGCGTAGAAAAGGTCTCTGGCTCTCTGCTCCTCCTTTCCCGTGTTCTTCTTCAGCTCCAGGAAGTCGAACACGTCGAAGTGCCACGGCTCCAGGTACATGGCGAAGGCCCCGGGTCTCTTGTTGCCGCCCTGGTCGACGTAGCGAGCGGTGTTGTTGTAAACTCTCAGCATCGGCACCAACCCGTTGGAGTTGCCGTTGGTGCCGGCGATGTAGCTTCCCGTGGATCGGATGCAGCTCACCGCCACGCCGATCCCGCCGGCGGACTTGGAAATGAGCGCGCACTGCTTCAGGGTGTCGTAGATGCCTTCGATGCTGTCGTCCTTCATGGCGAGCAGGAAGCAACTGGACAGCTGCGGCCGGTTGGTGCCGGCGTTGAAGAGGGTCGGCGAGGCGTGGGTGAACCACTTCTCCGACAGGAGGTTGTAGGTCTCGATGGCGGCGTCGATGTCTCGCCCGTGGATCCCGACCGACACCCTCATGAGCATGTGCTGCGGCCGCTCGGCCACCTTCCCGTTGATCTTCAGCAGGTAGGAGCGCTCCAGAGTCTTGAAGCCAAAGAAGTTGTAGGAGAAATCCCTGTCGTAAATGATGGAGGAATTGAGGCGGTCCTTGTTTTCCATGACGATGTCGAGCGTCTGCTTGGAGATCATGGGAGAGTGGCGTTTGTTCAGAGGGTTGACGTAGGCGAACAGGTCTTCCATCACCTCGCTGAACACCTTCTTGGTCTCTTTATGCAGGTTGGACACGGCGATCCTCGCGGCCAGGATGGCGTAGTCGGGGTGTTTGGTCGTCAGGGTGGCCGCGATCTCCGCCGCCAGTGTGTCCAGCTCCACGGTGGTGACGCCGCTGTACAAGCCCTGTATCACCTTCATGGTGATCTGAGCCGGGTCCACAAAGTCCGGGTTCAGGCCGTAGCAAAGCTTCTGGATGCGGGAGGTGATTTTATCAAACATGACGCGCTCCTGGCGCCCATCTGGGGAGAAAAAACAAACAAACACCCGAGAACCGGGGACAGTTTTCTGTTAAATCAAGAACACAAAAAACATCGTTGAGATTCTGAATTTATACAACATACAAAGACCACACATGACTGAACACCAATTAGTAATAACTGACCATCACATCAATCCAGGTTCTGTCGACAGTAACTTCCTGTTATGGATGAATGGTTCGTCTCCACGGTTGCCCTGTTTAACTGTTATTCTCCTGGCTATTATAAATCTGCTACACCCAGTTTATCTGTCAGAGCCCAAATTAACACAGTAATTAAAATACCATCAATCATTTACCCAATCAGAATAACTTGCCATCGCATGTTAGGCCTAGTAACTCATCCATATAAAAGGGATTGTAAAACAAAATCATAAACCATGTAGTTTAGTGTCTGAAAAAGTTTAAAACATAAAAACACAGCATATTTTTCCCAGATTTATTTCAGTAAATTGTGAAGAATCATCCTAGGATGCGTTTTTACATCTGAAAATAAACCTACAGCAGTCAAACCCCTTCTGAACTATTTAAAACCTTTACCATAACAGCAGAGGGCTTTAAAACCTAAAAGGTTTGTCTGAACCCAGCAGATCCAGGCCAGTCATGTTTTTGGACCTTCTTGCTGCAAGGCGGCATTGCTGCCTCCCAGCTGCGCCACTCAATGGACAATTAACCTTCATTTTTGGCGCCATTTGTAACAAAAGGCTCATTTCTGGCCATGTAAACAAACCCAACAGAGCTCAAACTACTTATCGAGGTGTGCTTGTTGGGTAAACGTTCAGACTGTCTGTTAGTTTGCCTCCTACACTAAAGTTTACTGCTAAGTTTAGCATGCTAGCTGGCTAGCTCCGACAAATCAAAATCCCTGGAAATATAACTGTTACTGTTAAACCTCCTAATCAAGGAGATGCCGACATTAGAGTCGCTGTCGTTCCTTGATCTCATGAACAGCTGATGGCCGAAGCAGCAGAGCGACCAGAGGTCGAGCTGCTCAGCTAGCAACACTCACCTCGTTTGATCACGAACATCATGATGAAAGGCGATGTTTCCCGTCTCCTGGGTCAGCGACAGACACAACCAGAACCTCTTTCTCGGTGAGCAGGAAGACGTGGGACCCCCCTCGACTCGGCAGAACACAACCGCGAAAGTTCCCGCTAACGCAGCTTTTTGCAAGGACCGCGTAGGTCAGGACTTTGGACGAATCGGCGGCGGGAAGGGACGTGACGTCGAACCGCGAACCAATCGCAGATCTTCTTCACGGAAGAAGGGGTTCTTCACGCGCGGGAATGTTACGTGTTTGGTTCTTCCATTCTTCACGAACAAGAATATGGAGAAAAAGCAAAAGCACCTCGTTACCACAGATTTATAAAACATGTCCGGAAATGGAAATGAAAACAGTTAAGTAAATAAAGTGATGTCACAACCACATAAGGCAGTTGAGATTTTATGTTTTGGAAGTGGTACAACTTTTGTATTTTATCTTTTTTTTTTTTTTTTTAGAATTTAAATTTTTTTAATACTAATAATTTCCGCTTATTTATACAGTTTCATTTTGCAACAAAATATCAGGACATTTTGCATGACAGGCCAATTCAGTTAATATCCATTTTAAAAATAATACATAACCAAAGCAATAATTTACAGTGAAATTCTATTGGACTGAAACGCAGCTACTCAGGTGAAAAAACAACTTTTGTTACTTATTAATTGAACTGTGATCCAATTCTAAACGAATGGCTACATGTCCTCTTACATATCTTTTCTTTTCTTTTATTTTCCACTTCTTGGAAAATAAACATTTAGCCAGGAATGTACACTAGATGGCGCTCCTCCGATGCGCCCTCACTGTCAAAAAGGCCTAGAAGAAGAAGTATCACTTGTTTGGACTCCAGGTCAGTGGTGGGAGTGACTTAAATTTGTGTTTTTTATGGTTTATGCGTAGTTTTGATGCGTATGCTTAAAATATGACGTTTTTCTTCATTAGCTGCTAGTGACTGAGTTTTCCGGAAGCGACGAGGAACATCTGCAGAGGTCCTGCAGCTTGTAGGTGCAACTTGCAGCTATTATTAAATGAAGTAAGCAGATGTAGAGCCAGCCATGGCTCCAGAGCGCTCAGCGTCGAGGACGGCACGCGGAACTGTATCAGCTGATCCCGGATCGATAGGTTGAGGCGAGCAGCTGCAGATGTCATCATCGCTTCCTGTGTGAATCTCAAGGCCGTCGCTTTGGACACGTAGCCGTAACTTCAACACGGCCGCAGGAGGAGGACTATGTCCCGCTCCAGCCGCAGGTTCGCCAAGCCTCCGCCGCAGAGCAACGGCGGCTCCCTCCCCGGCTGCGACCGGGCGCGGATCCCCAGAGCCCGGGTCCTGCTGCTGGGTCTGCTCGGCGTCCTGGTGCTGGCGGTGGTGCTGAGTGTCTACCTGTCCAACGACGCCTCCGGCGGACAGGGGAGCCACCTGCCAGCCGTGGATCTGGCCAAGGACAGGGTGAGACACGTCCACAGTGGGAGCCGTAAACCCGAACTTTACCTGGATTAGTTTTGCAAGTCTGTGATAGTTGTTTAAACACAGTTAATTTGAACCAGTTTATTGTTGCAATCAGATCTGAGTAGTTATCGATGAGGATCTGTAATAATCTGGATGATATTTCATCATATCTTTTGCTTTAAAGCCTTTGAGTATCAAATGTCTTCTTTCACTACTGACAAGCTGTAACATGCCTTATGGCAATCTTTTCAGTTAAAGGGGAGTGTTATGAGAAAGTGACTTTACTTGCTATCATGAAATTTCCCAGCTCCCACAGAGCAGCCCCTCCCCCACACCTCCCTCAATCAGCTCCTCCAGACTAGCCTGCAGCAATTAGCAGACACCTGGTGGAACTGAGCTCGTCATGCAAGTTACCTCTAAGTGCAATGTTCCTACAAATGATGTTAACGGCCTCATGGAGGAGCATTGCTGTGATGACATGCAGAAGGCAGAGTGTCAGAAAGAGCTGGATCTTCTTAAAGAGACAGATTTCTTTGTAGGCATGTTTGATATATGCAGCATTTTTATAACAACTGAAGGTAACATAGTTGCTTGATTGTGTTATGAAAGTGCCTGGAAATTGCATAATACCGCCCCTTTAAGGTCCAGCGTTTAGTTCCATCATATAAAATTATAATGCCAAAAGTGATAAATGTAGCTATCATGAATGCATAAAATGATGACGAGCGTCAGCAAAAACAAACAGATGGAAACGTTTCAGTATGGAGCAACAGAACAACTGCATAAATGAAATACTGGTTAATAAAGAGTCTGAGAATTCACAAACATCTTATTCCATTTCTGTGATATTATTCCTGTTTTTATTTCATCTCCTCTCCAACAGTTGTCCCACAAACCCAGTAAAGTCTCTGTGGCCCAGATCCGCCGCCTGGCCTCTTTGGTTGATGGCGCTCGCTTGTGGGAGACTCACCTGCGGCCGATCCTAATAGAGAGGCTCCCAGGGACTCGGGGCAGCCTGGCGGTGCAGCAGGTGTGTGAAACTGAGACGCTTTTCCCTTCGGATACCGACATCTGAGGTTTTGCACCAGCCGATGCCGATCCGATACAGAGAAACGGTGCTGACTCGACTTAAATCGTTTCGTCTTTTAAACACAGACATAAATGTACTGGATTACAAATTTATTTCATAACCACGACACCAGTTCAGCTCACTAAAATGCACCAATAGCTTCACAAGTTTGGTCAAACATAAAAAAACCAACAACTCAAGTTTGTTCTGTCAGTGCAGTCAGGAGTAGAACAGCCAATAAAAAAACAAGTAATAAACTCCCTCTGCTCTGCTTCAGCACATCACCTCCACCCTGTCCTCCCTGTCGGCTGGCTGGTCAGTGGATCTGGACTCCTTCCGGTCTCCGACCCCTCGCGGTCAGGTCACCTTCACCAATGTCGTTGCCGTCCTGGACCCCGCAGCCCCACGCAGGCTCCTGCTGGCCTGCCACTACGACTCCAAGGCCCTGCCTCCGGACCCGCGGGCCCCAGAGAGGGTCTTCCTGGGGGCCAGCGACTCTGCTGTGCCCTGCGCCATGATCTTGGAGCTGGCCGCTGCTCTGGACGCACAGCTCAGATCATTCAAACAGCAGGTGTTTTGTTTTCTGCTATAGGAGTGAGATGCTTGGATTCAGATAGCTGCTGGGGCATCAGGTTACCCTGTTTGTCATTGCTTTATTTTTTTTATTTTGAAGTTTAAAGACGCTGACCAAAGTCTTCTCCCGTTCCGTTCTGCTCTGTTTTTATCGCTCTGTCTCCGTGGCTGCAGTGTGTGCAGAAAACGCTGACTCCAGTCCCTGTCCTCTCCCCAGAGACCGTAATTTACCGTACGCTGTTACTGCAGGAGGGAAACGATGACTCCAGCTCCCGTTTTAGAAAACGGTCTCTTCATGAAATCACTAACTTTTTTCCTCCTGCCCTAGAAACTCCCAGTCACCCTGCAGCTTGTGTTTTTCGACGGTGAGGAGTCGTTCGAGGAATGGACGGCCACGGACTCGCTGTACGGCTCCCGTCACCTGGCCGAGCTCATGGGCAACACGCCCCACCCTGCCGCCTCGTCGCGCACCACCGCGCTGCAGGCCGTGGTGAGGAAGCAGCGACACGAAACAACCAGGGCCATTTATAAACCCACATTTATCAAATTAAAACGGTCGACATGCACAATTCATATCCCGGCTCTTCATAGCCTCAAAAAAAAAACAAGTAACACAAGTATCTTTGCACACTTGAAATAAGAGAAGACTGACTAGCAAGTAACTTTTACAGGTGTTTGAGTCGACATTTCCTTAATATTGATGTTAGTTCCATCAGTAAATTATTTCACTGATAACATGGGAAAAATGTCTTATCAGTAAAATAAATTGCCAATGGAATATTAACTTTACATCAATATTTAGGAAACGTTGATTTAAAGCTCGCACCTGTATCCTGTTGAAAAGTTACTTGCGAGTTACTTTTTGTCTTACTTCAAACATATTTACACAACTAGCCCAACTACTAAACCCCACATTCATAAAAAAAAAAAAAAAAAAAAAAAGCACACGTGTTAAATGTCTTGTGGTTGCATTCTCAGGACCTTTTCGTGCTGTTGGACCTGCTCGGTGGCCCCGACCCGCTGATTGCGAATCACTTCGACAACACAGCACGCTGGTTCGACAGACTGATCTCTGCAGGTGGGTGCAGCGTGCGCCTCGGCTCTGAGCGCCGTAACGGTGATCTGTGGATCTGAACCGCGCTCTTCCCCTTAGAGAAGAGGCTCCATCGGCAGGGCCTCCTCGTGTCTCACCCCTCGGAGCAGACGTATTTTAGGAAAGACGTTTACCTCGGACCCGTTCAAGACGACCACATCCCCTTCCTTCACAAAGGTAAGGCGCGGAAAGAAAAGACAATGAAGCCACTTGAGCTATTGCTTCCCAGACAGGTTGGGAGTTTGACTCTCCTTAAAGATCAAATCCTTTTTTATTTAAAAATATGAGTAAATTAGAATGTAATGGCAGTGAGTGATTCAAGACAAAAATGTCAGAGCACATGTGAATATTGTCTTGAGTGCCATCCAAGCGTGTTCATGTAAACTCAACTTGTTTCGCATTTTTAATGTTAAAACCACAAACATTGAAGTGTTCAGTGGTTTTATGTGATGTGAGGATGAGCGATAATCGTTGCTGTGCTTCTCAGTGAGATTGTGTTCAATTGCCAATCGATAACATTTATAATTTTAGCGCTGCAGGCTTGTTGTTGGTCAGACTCTCATTGCAACGGCGAGGTCTATAAAAAGACAACACGACGCACTGCAGCTCACCGCTGCGTTCGAGCCGGTTTTTGTTTTTGTTGCAGTTTTAAGAACTTTTGTATTTCTTCTCTCCTCCTTTCCCTCCAGGCGTCCCCGTGTTGCACATCATCGCCACTCCCTTCCCTCAGTTCTGGCACACACTGGACGACACGGAGGAGAACATGCACCGCCCGACCGTAGAGAACCTCACGAAGATCATGGCCGTGTTCCTGGCCGAGTACCTGGGCCTCTGAACCGAAAAATGCCAAATACCTCGGAGGAGAACAAAGCCAGCCTCTGGTCCAGCTGATCTGGACGAGTCAGACGAGATGGACCCGGTGTCTCAATGTCCCGTTGAAGCAAATGGGAAAACATGTAGAAAAACATGAGCAGCCTTAACAAGAATTTACCCCCGTCAATATGAAGAAGATGCACTTTATCTTCTTAAAGATGGACTTTCATTAAATCGAGCTGAGCTCTGTCTGTGACGCTCAGATTTCCCCTGGTCACTGAAGGCCTCTCTCACCTGCTGCTTTTAACTTCATCACAATCTTTACTGTAGACGTCCGGCCGCGCTCTCTGGAAGTCCAAATCACTTTTATTTATTTCTTTTTACACTCTGAAGGTCAAAACGTTACACTGTAGCTCATACAGACCAGTTTACCAGCATTGTCCTCGAATTGAACTCAATATTTGACATGAATGCCCCGATGTTGTGTCTAAACGCCTGTGAATCAATTCTGCTGATTATCTCGATTATTTTCATTTTATATCTTCTTTGTGTTGTTAGTCAATAAAATCCTAGCAGTCTTGATGCGTGTGATAAAGAGGAAGAGGAGGGTGGCACAAGGGTGGAGGTGTCGGGCGGAGTCCCCGGGGTGGTGGGCTCTTCGGGGGAGAAGCTTCATTCTCAGAGAACAGGTAGATTTCACCTGAACGTCCTCCAGCGAGGGGAATCTGAAAACTGAGGCAGAAAATACACCGAGTTAGAGACGCTGACGTAATCTTTTAATGACCCAGTTCTACCACGCGAGGGCGCTGTCGCTAATTTAATGCTCAGCTTGGAGCGGCTTTAAAAAGCAGAGAACGAGACCTCGTTAGCGCCGCTGTGGTTGTTTAGCTTCAGGAATTATTAGTTGACCCTCCAGTGTTTTTTTTTTTTTTTTTGCGGCCTCTAGTGCCCCTTATATGAAATTAGGCTGAGAGGACGGAGGTAAGCAGAGGAGGGCGGACATGCGGCAAATATCGTCGAGTCCGGGAATCGAACTCGCGACGGCCGCGTCGAGGACTCGAGGCCTCCAAACGTGGGTCGCGCTATAGCTGCTTGTTCTTCCGAACTTCAGAAAGTGATCGTGTTTGTTTCCCCAGCAAGAGTTTATTCAAATGAAATAAACCCAAGAACGTCAAAGGAGCACAAAAAGATTTAGTCGCAGTAAAAACAAATATAAAATATAATACTTACAGGAAAATATACTACATAAAATCCTCAGGATTGCTTTGATGTCATTCTGAAAATATTTTTAAGATTTATACTTAGGATTGTAGTCATAATTGAGAGACATGTATAGGTGTTAGATCTAGTTATTTTTCCACAAATTATCGTAATGAAAACATTTAACGGCTTATTTGTGATTCGCACTCAGTAATAGTTGAGAGATCCAATATTTCCTAAATACAGATTTAAATATTAGACACAAAGTCTTAAGAGTTGTCCGTAATGTTGAGAAAGTTGTGCTATAATTGTAGGTTTCAGTACATTCGCTTTGATATTGTACAGAATAAAGTTCAGTACAATTTATAAAAACTTTGTTTTTTCCCCCTTTTTTACTCCAGATGCTTTAAGTCATCAAAGCTGAGTTTAACCTTCCTCTGACCTGTCAACATCCACGGCTCGCTCCCTCTGTCGGCGGTTCTTGAACCAGTTGCTGACCTGGGTGGAGGTCAGGCCGGTGGCGGCGGCCAGCTCCCGTTTCTCCTGGGTGGATGGGTACGGCTTTCTGTGGTACCACTCTCGGAGCACGCTCCGCGATTTCTCCTGCTTTACAGATCAGGTCGTTTACTGTTCTGAACATCAGGGATCAGAAACATGTTGGACTGTTGGCAAGTCAACGTTTAATGGGTCATCAGGAAGAAAAAAATGAATTAAATTACACATTCTTTAGCTTTGGTCAGTTCATTTAAACCTGTATTTTCATTTGTTTTTATCGCAGAGCAAATATGGAATTAAAATTGATCCTGCTGAGGCAATAGCAACACTGGCAAACCAGACTTAAATAAAAATATGTTCCATTTGAAGCGTTATCCTTAAGAGAATTTGACATGCAGCGTCTTTGAACAGTATTCAGATCCCCCAAAACTTTGTTAGCGAAAACAGCATCATGAAGTCGAGTGATTAGGTTAAACAAAATCCCAAGAGAATCTGCAGAGAGCCACAGTCAAAATCTGGTGTCGATGCAAGAGTGAGAAAAAGGTTATTTTGATCAGAGCTTGTGCAAACACTTTGCCTGCTGGGAGCAGGAAGTAGGAAGATCCAAAGGATGCCAGCCTGTGGCTTCAACGGGACACTTTAAATCAAAACAAATGACCTAAATCTGATTAAACATCTGCAACACCGAAACACCGAAATGTCTTGTGGTCAGGGGTCACTTTCCTGTAAGTTTTTGACGTGTCCCTAGTGCAACACACCTGAACCAAAAGTCTGCATTACTTCCTCAATATGCAGGTAAATTCTCCAGCGTCCTGATGAAACTGATCTGGCGATTTGAGGCAGAGACGATCTAAACTCTGAGGACTGCAGATGAAGACTTTAGATGTACGAGGCTGTTTCTAATTTAAAAATACTTACAAACTGAAGTGTTGCTGCAACTTATTAATTTGAGATTGTTGAATCTTGAACATTTCAAGAGTCGATGCCTGAACCCAAGAGAATGCCACACTTTCCAGGTTTTTGTTTGTGAAGACAAAACAGAAAAGTAGCAATTATGCACCACTCTGTGTTGGTCCCCCAAAAAAAGGCTCTGGTTCTAACTTTTGAATAATTTTGCGAGGCACTTAGGAGAAGGTCCTGAAAGTAATTAAAGCGTTTTGCTGTTAGAGGGTGAATAAACTAAAGAGCGGTTTTCAGTTTTGTTTTGGAGCAGATTTCTTCCCACCTTGAAGCAGTAGCTGGTCTCCTCGCCGTCCCAGATGGTTTGGGGTAAAGGAAACTTCCTCCTAACTCGGTACTTCCCAACGGCCCCCAGGGGCCGGCCCCGCTGCCTCTCGGCCTCGGCGTAGCGGGCCCGCAGCCACAGCTGCTGCAGGAACGGGTGGCTGCGCGGGGAGAAGAGGAAGCCCTCCAGCTGGGTGTAGAGGTCCGAGAAGCGGCCCTGGTGAAAGGCCACGGCCGCCTTGGCTTTCAGCACGCTCTCCAGCTCCCGGTGGCACAAAGAAGAAGAAGGTGGAAGAGTGCAGAGGAAGCTGGCGAGACGATCCATGTGACCGCCCTGCAGCAGGACCTCACACACACAAATGACCTGCTCTGTTGTGAAGATCATCGCAGTAAAAACAGACCAAAATCTCCTCTACAGCTCAGCTCCTTTGAGAGCTGCAGCCTCCGTGGATCATAGCGGACGAACCAAAACCAAACCAACCAGCGTGAGTGTTGGGATTGAGCATCATCATGCCCTCGGACAGGTAACCTGAGTCCATCAGGGCTTACAATAACACATCAGAGGCCTCCCGCCTCCTCACTTCTCTTGTGCAAACACGAGCCGCCGGCGCACCTTTGAAAGCTCTGGATTGAGCTGAGGATGATCCCAGAGCTTTCTGGGAAAGCTCTGGGCTCCCAGAAAGGCATTTGAATAAAATTTTGTTGACAAATTTTAGGCAAAATCCCTGAACAAATGAGAGTCGGTTGAGCCCTACAGCTCCAACAAAGGGTAAATAGGAGACACAGGCTTTTTTTTTTTTTTAATAAATGTAGTTTATTACAGTATCATGTAATATAAAAAATAGAATGCATTTGAGTAAAAAAAAAAAAAAAACAACAACAAAAAGAAACAAAACAGGAAGAACATTGAAAGACAGACATCTCCCTTTTTAAAAACACAAAAGGACCGACACACAATCTTTGGTTAAATCAAGAGTTAAGTGACTGGTAACAACAACAACAACTCAAGGTTACAAACAAAAGAAAAACAAGCATGCTTTGGTATATTTAAAACAAACAGTCCTGTTTCCATCGACTAAAGCTCAACAGCGGGATAAACTAGAGTTTAAAAAAAACCTCAGAGCTATCCGAGATTTCCTATATGCACCGTTTTCACGAGTCTTAACTTTAAGCTGGGAACCGACTGGTACATGCAATTAAATAGGTACAAAACATACCAATCAGAAGAAAACATAAAAATCACAAACGCAGGTCATTACTGTAACTGGAGGCAATACTGAAGTCCACACTGGATTTGAAAAGCAAACCCGCCTGTTAAAGGGCTTGATTTTTAGGACACAAAGAAATAACTGGCATAATGAAACAACTTCCATTTCTTTATGAGCTGCCGTACAATTCAGCTGAAGGAAAAAATATACATATACAAATTTGAAATGGCACATCCTTAAAATTGATATTTTGCCAAAGTAATTTTTTTGTTCAAATTTGATTGTCCTGAATTAGGTTGGGACATCTTTTTAGAAAATGTTCCTCACTTTAATCGCTCCGTTAAAGCCACAGTTTGCAGCTGCCGGATGAATCAGATGATTAAGTGTGTAGGTTTGATAAGCCAAGTTGAATTCTTCCAGAGAAAACAAGTCAAGGAACGCCTTGAAATCGTCAAACGCCTTGTGATCGTATGTCATGAGCTCAAACAGATGCAACCTATAAATATAGGTCTGGCAAAACCACCGTCAATCACTAAAGGAAGAAAGAGAAAACAAGAAAACAACCACAGTGATATGTTGACCTGGCTTTGCTTTTTCTGCCCCCAGTTTAAATCCAAAACCTTCCAATGTCTGCTAGAAATCTGAAGATGTTTTTTTTTTCTTCAGAGCACTCCTCAAAACCCAGACAAGGATTATTACCTCATGAGAGGAAAATTGAAGTTCGGAAACTAAATCCTAAAAGTTTTACCAGTGGTAGCACTGGGACGAGGTGGGATAGCTTGACTTTTTTCCAAGGAACTTCTGTCTCATCATCAGTTGAGATGGTGACAATTTCAACAAATATCTAACAAACAAACAAAACAAAATAAAAACAACATTTTTTTAAAATAATAAGGTACATACTGCAGCTGTAAGTCACAAAAACCTGCCGTTTTAACAGGGGCGTGTCCACTTCTGACATCCACTGTACATTTATGTACCATACACGAGCAAAAAGGCTTTGACGGCCTGTTTGGTTTAGCGTTTAAATCCGAAGGACCCGGAGCGTCCGGAACCAATGAGTCCCACCGCCATCACGACAGAACGGGAGCGTCAACGTAAACTTTACTGCGAATGAAATGTGCAAAATATACAACGATTTTTTTTTTTTTTTCAAAAACAAAAAGATATGAGATGGAGCAACGACCATGCAAATAAAGTATCACAGCAATTCACAGAGGGTCAAGCTGACGTAGAAATGTTCTTCAAAGTCCAAAGATCTGGTCAGCAACATACAAGTCACACAAAAACGGTGTAACAAACACAAAACAAGATAACATTAAAAACAAAAACAAAAAAAGATACTGTTTAAAATAAGGCACTTATCAGCATCATTGTACTGAGACTTTGGCTGCATTTGATGAGAAACATCACAATCAGAGCAAAACGCTTTAGTGTAATGCACGTCAACGCTTCATTTCATCTCCCAAGTGTTGTGCGACGTAGTGTCCTATAATGCTACACATATATTGCATAGAGTTATAACCTGTTCTTAAAACCCTTTTAGCTCCTGTATCATTATTATCATGATCATTTCAATCACACAATTCAAAATCTGCAAAAAAAAAAAAAAAAAAAACGAAAAACAACTTTACATAAAATGCAACAAACCTGGCTGGTTCGCCAGACTTCAGTAACTGGTTCATATCTGTGAAATACTGTTGTGTTTCCCTTGCAACTAGGAGCCAAAATAAAGAGCATAAAGGTTTTCATGCTCTTCATTTTGGAGTGTTGGTGGCGGAGGAAGAGTCAAAGTCCAGAAGCTCTCGCTGAAAAATGCTCAAGTGTTTTCACTTTACCAGATCTTCTCTCTTTCGGTGGCGCCCCGAGGAAAAACTCCAGGAAAATGTACTGTTGAATTTCCTCAAAATGTCATCCAGCTCTACTCCTCTCTCGAGTAAGATTTTTATTTATGTATTTTTTAAATGTGGCTAAAAACGGCAGAAAATTCCCTTAAAATCGAGTAGGAAAAACCTCAAAACGAAGCGTCTCCAGACACGTTTACACTCATCATGGACGTCGATGTCATTTATTTAGTAATTATTTTTGCATCTAAAGCTGCATCCGACTCATTGTTTATGTTTCTGACTACAGGAGAGCTTAGAATGCAAAGCAAAACTGGGCGAGGAGGCATTCATGGATGCTTGACAAACCTTCCTGGTGAACCACATTTAAGTTGTTTTTCTCTGGATCTCTCCGAGCTTTCAGGAATATTCAGCAAATTTTGAGCGTAGTTGAGGTCAGGGCATTCCTGAAGCCAAACGTTGGCCCGTTTTGTTCTCCTGACCTCAGATTCCGTGTGTTTGGGTTTATTGAAGATCTAGCTGTCAAATCCTCATCTTTGGGCTGAGAAACATTTACTCTCCAAGTAGAAATTCTCACTTTCAGCCTCATTGAAATGAAAATTCGTCTAAAGCTAAACCCTTTCAAAAAAACAAAAACAAAAAAGGATATAATCAGGTAGAATTCATTTTATGGTTGAAAAACAAACACATAATTTTATATCTATCTAATGCTTTTAAAACAAATATGCTGGTAGAAATAAAAACTATATTTTCTATATTTTATATTTCTTTAAAGTGGATCTATTCACTTTTCTGTACTGACGCTTTTAGGTCAGAATAGGTAATGAGGTTAATATGCGTTACGTAACATCGACGACCCTGGTATAAATCGATACTTTCAGTGAGAAGGATGGTTGGATTAAATCTTTAAACCGGTGTGACGTTGATATCCATGAAAAGCGTATGCAAAGTTCTGACTGGAGCTGCCAAACACCGCAAAACGAAACTGCAAAAACATCTCTCAAAAGTGCCAGTCAGGACTGTGAAGACATTAAAACGTTTACATGCCTCATTAATATGCTTGGAGAGTGTGAAGGTAACGTGTCGGGTCGTGAGGAGAAACGGAAAGTGATTCAGAGATTGTTGTCGCCAGCGTACAGTTTTAAGAGACTACAAACCCAGGTCTTCATCCACGGGGACCGACTGGAGCTGAGTGAGGATCTTGGGGTCCCCGTCCATCTCCTCTGGGTCGCCCAGGGGAGACCTGGCGTCCTCGTCCTGCCCCGGCGAGGGGCTCCCCAGCAGGAGCGACTCGCCGCCGGGCAGGCCGAGCAGGGCGGGGTCTACGGGCAGCTCGCCCTTCCCCCGCATGTCAAACAGAGTCAGGCTGGCCGAGGTGGAGAGCGACACGGGGCTCCACGCCGGCTGGGACAGCTGGAGGCTCGGCGCCACGCCGCTGTGCACGGGGCCGAGGGCCAGCATGCTCTCCGGCGCGAGCGCGCTGTGCGTCGTCATGGTGACGGGCTGGTCCGCGAGCGCCTGGCTGGTGGCGACGGCGGAGTCCGGAGCGCAGTACAGAGGGGACGAGCTGATGAAGTTCAAGGGCGAAGCTGCCGGACCGGCGGCGGTCGAGCCGGAGGCGGACGGAGGCTGGTGGGCCACGGGGGGCGCGGAGGGGCCAAGAAGCCCCGCCACGCCGTTGGCAGAGATGGTGGGTGCGTCTGGGACTGGTTTCAGGGGTAAACTGGTGAGCTGGATCCCTGCTGGGATGGTCAGAATCAGCTTCCCCTGCTGGACACTCAGATAAGGACTTCCACCAAGAACGAGGTTCCCTAGAGGAAAACACAATGATCCTGATTTAATGACTTTATGCACATCATGCTAGTTACCTTGCTGAACAACCACAAACTTTATGGAGATGGTAGAATAGTTATTACACATGATTTCATCTGATTTTAAGATTTTGATTATGTTTTACAACATCTAGCCTGCATGTATGGGAACCTCCAAGGGTTCCTTCCATCTTCCCATCAACTTTGACCTTCTGAGTCCCTGCTGGGTAAATACAACCTAAACAAACACACACAATAGAAGAATAGTTTGTGTTATTTTGCCAAAGATGAAAGAGAAATTTTACAGCCACTAAAATCTGACCCCACTTCTTCTTTCTCGATATGATGGCGATGGCAAACAACTGAAGGAAGCCTACAGCCACCAGCTGGTAACCTGATGATATTTCATTATGTGAAAAAGAAACTTGTGCTCAGCTTTCATTTCCTTTAGTGGTTCTTGATGCAGCGCCCCCACAGGCGAGAAGAGGGAATGGATTCTTCAAATTATTTGGTTCACCGCCGTGTGAAAGCGAACCGCACAAGTGGAAAATATAGCAAATGTTGCAGTTTTAGTCCCCAATCGAACAGAATCTTCTAGACGATCAGGTGTGAAAAGACCCCGGATGTCAAGCTGTTTAATGGGACTTTCTGTTGCTTTCTTTCTGCAGAGGTTGTCTGGCACTCTTCCATGAAGATCTGATCCACAATAAATAATTTGTTGCCTCTCAAGGTTAACTTAACTTTTACATTTTTATAGAATCCAAAATATATTTAATTCCTCATATGTTAAATGAAAACCCATCAAAGAATCCAACTAAAGGCCAATGATAAATCTCATTTTCCAATGACACACGCTTACCTGTTGGAGAGGAAGGCAGCTGGATGATCCCAGGGTTCAGCAGCTGCACGGCGGGGGCCACGCTGCTCGGGTTCCCCACTCTCTGAATCGAACTCAGTGGGTTTATCCGCAGCGGGGTCTGCGGAGCCCCTCCGGATCCGGGAGCCGAAGCCAGGATCTGCAAGGGCAGCCCGGCCGAGGGGACGGAGAGAGCCGGGCTGGCCGGCACCACCTGAGGGAAAGAGACGTTGGAGGAGGTCTGGATGGAGGAGACGGGGACCAGCTGAGGCATGGAGAGAGAGACTAACTGTGCAGGGGTGCTGCTGCCTTTGGTGTGCGACACCGGCACTACTGGAGTTGGGGAAGACGCGGAGAGAACCTGCGGAGTCTGGATTTTGGAGTTTATTTGCTGGAGGGCAGCGTTGCTTAGCTCTGACACCGAAACCACAGTCGCAGCAGATTCAGATACAGTTGTTGGGGGCTCTTTCTGCTGCTCTGGTGGTCTGCCACCCGGGTTTTGAGTTTGAGGGTTTTGGAATGGTGGAGCCGACGAGGCGAGTGGGGATACTGGGACGAGCTGAGGGCACTGGGATCCTAAAGACGTCTGGACCAGATGGGATACTGGTGCACAGTGGATGGAAGGCACAACTTGGGGCAAAGAGATGACATGAGGGGCGGAGTGGATGGAAGAAACCGACGAGGGAAAAGCCCCCTGCTGACTGGGAGCGTTAGAAATAACTACGCCTGCGGAAGACAGAGGCGCTGTGAGGGAGAGCGGCTCTTGATGTTGTGGGTTCTGGGTCAAGACTAGAGATGACAGACTGACGGGAGACGACAGAGCTGGTGGGGAGGGCGACAAAGACGAGGAGGACGGGGACACCGTCTGGCTGCCTCCCTCCGATTCACAGCGGACGAGAAAATCCATGTTGTTGCCGCTCTTTGCTATGGTTTGAAGTGGAGGAGAAACGATGGCGGAGGCCTCGGAAGATTGCATGTTGCTGCTCAGAACTGCCGCCTTGGCCCCCGCCGCCTCCTGCTGCCCTGCGCTGACCCCCGGTTTGGCTATGACCTGAGCGCCGTTCAGGATCAGAGGAGAGCTGGTGGTGACAGGACTCAGCGTGACCGTCTGGCAGTCACCCAGACTCAGGCCGTTGATGATGACGCCGGCCCCGGCGCCGGAGATCAGAGAGTTTCCGTTCAGCAGCAAAGGCTGCGGCGCTGTGAGGAAGCCGCTGGAGCTGTTGAGGATGAGCTGGCTCCCGGCGCTGCAGGGGACCGCCGAGACGGAGATGATGGACGCCCCGGAGCCAACGGGCTCCTCAGGTTTGTCCGCCGCTTCGTCCATGACGCTCGCCTCGTCTTCAGTGCTGTGGTTCCCATCGGACTCACTGAAATTTGATGCAAAATTAAACACATTTTTACAATTATTTCTGCTTTTGAGAAAATATGAAGTTCAGGTGCGCTGCAAAAACACCAAGTCACAGCAAATGTCTTGGTCTATTTCTATTGCAAATATCTTGGAACAATTGAAACAAGACAAAACTGACTCACAATAAACTTCTTTGCAAAATATAGGAGCTTCTTTTATGTCAATAACTCCATCAGATTGATGAAGAAGTTTCACTTCCACTGGCAGATTATTTCACTTTCAACATAAGTGTGTATATTGTAATTTTATTTTTGTCTTGTTCTATGTGAAATAAATCGCCAGTGGAACTGAAACGTTTTCATCAATATTATGGAATTATTGACATAAAACAAGGCACTTCTTGCCTTAAAATTATTTCAATTAGTTTTGTCTTATTTGAATTGTACCAAGATATTTGCACTGGAAACCAGACCAAAACACTCGGCAGGACTTTGTGTTTTCGCAGTGCACAGAGAGTTATTGCCTTCCTGTTTTGATGAAAAGCAGATACGGCAGTATTGAAAATCGCAATCATTTGTGTTGAATTGCTGATAGACATTGAATGTAAATCAGAGAGATTTTGTGCTGGTTGGATTTAAAGCTCATATTTCTAGAGGCAAAAGAAAATGTGTATAAGTTTCTCCTCTACTTTAAAACCGCAGCACAGTCAACCATTATTCAACGCCCTGCTCCTCCAACCTAATAACCAACCAGGCATGACAGCAAGCAGGAAGCCAGAGTCCTAAAAAAAATCCTTTCTGGTGCTGGTTTGGGTTCGTCTGTGTCGTTTTGACTACACAGATTCGCTGAGATGCTCGGCCGGACCACCACAACCACTGAGATAAGCCCTCTGTGCTCTGTTTTATCTCTTCACAAACAGATCACCCCTGTTTGGAGAAACACTGGTTGCAAAAAAAACAAAAAGAAACAAGAGATGCACCAATTATTCTGCCAGAGACAGGAATCAGCGCCACTCTTCATTAAATAAAAACCAAGAACACACACACACACACACACACTTTTACCCCCTATATAAGTCGGCTGAAAATAAAACCAGAGTCATGTTCTCTGACGCACTTCTGTGAGCTTAGATAAAAGCTGCAGATAAAGGCTTCCAAACATAAGTGTGTATATTGTAATTTTATTTTCTATTCAATTTAAAGCTGCTACTTCTATCAAGTACTGCACAGGGCATTTTTTTCTTTCACAAAAGAGGAGAAAGAGTCAATAAAAATAATTTTGAATCAGTGAAGATTGGATCCACTGGATGAGACCTGCAAGAAACTGAATAGCTTCTTGAAGCATATTTGATTTGGTTGCTGCGCTATGATTAGTCAGCACAAAAGCTACTGGTTATTATGCTACTGACTTATCCTTCCCCACTAAAAACAAACATTTCTCATTTCCAATTGCAGTTTCAAGAATTCCCGATGAGAAAGTAAAAGTACGCTGGACGTCATTATACGTAAGCTGAGGACGATTGTTGAATTCTCCTCCGACCAAATCTGTTTAATTTATCTGATGGTGAGTCACTTTTTTTAATTACACCAACCAGAGTCAGACGCTGAAGGTGGCAGACCTGATGGATGCTGTGTTGGAGGGTTCGTTGAGATACAAAACACAACGCAGTGACTTCAGAAACTGGGAAATCTACTGTCCTACACTCTGAAGAGATCAAAATAAAATGATTTAAAAAAAAGACACTATGTTGAGCTTGCGACAAAAATGCAGGAGAGAGGCATTTGATCTTTCAAGTTTTCTTCAAAGTAATGTGAAATAAATCTCCTGTCCTATTCTTGTAAATTCAATATTGTGTATCTTCTTCTTGTGACTTTTTTGTATCTCTCTCTCTTTCTCTCAAAATGTCGCCAGGCCTTTAGTGAGAGGACGTCGAACCCGCGACGTCCTCTCACTATATATATATATATATATATATATATATATATATATATATATATACACACATATATGTGTGTGTGTGTGTGATTTTAACTTTGTATTTCAATGTGAATTTGGTGACTTAAATGACCAGAATTACAATATTTAGTTGTTTTTTTTTTAAGTGTTGCTTTACCATAAGATTTGGTAGAAATTGGTTATAAATAGGCCTGGGTGCAAAAAAAACAAACAAAAAAACAAAACAAGAAATCTTCATTAGGCAACGGCGGTGGGTAAATATTGCTCTACATGTGATCAGCGTATATGCCAATCAGAATAAAATTGAGATTTCCTATTAAGAAACTCTATGACAGCGTGGTTGGATTTTTTTTTTTTTTTACTTTAACTTTTCCTCATTAAACTCTTTTTTCCCCTCTGCTGGTTCTTTAGGAGCATCAATAAATGTCAGTATTTTTCTGACAATTAACACCACAAGGTCTGATCCATCCCTACTGCAGTGTATAAAATGAGAGATCTCAGGCTGTGCAAGACCTGATTCTGCAGGGTTGTTGGGTTGTTTTTGTTTGTTTTTTCTTTTCCGCACACTCTCTCTGGTGAAAGGTTTCCACCAACTAGTTTCCCTGACTCTGAAGGCGGCAGCGCAGTGCAGGGTTTCAGGAAACTTGAGCCACCGTGGGCCCATCCGGATCTCACATTTCACAACAAAGCAACACGCTTCAGGTTTTCAGATGTGTGACTCCACTGCTTCCAAACCAACTGCAATAAACCAGCGTCTAAACACAGTGGCTCGTTTTTCGCACTCCAGTGAGGGCGCGCTGTGTTTTTTCTTCAGGTTTTAAGAGCCTTTCTGCGTTTCCACCGCTTCCAAACAAAGGACGCTGTTTGCAGCTTATGTAATTGAACGTGCGCGTATGCATGCAGCCCTTGCCTTTTGCTGTGGGTCCCGGACGGGGTCCTGTCTCTCTGCCTGCGGTTCTTGAACCAGTTGCTGACCTGCGTGAGGGACAGTCCGGTGACTTTGGCCAGGTTTTTCTTCTCGTCCGGAGTGGGGTACCTGTTGCTCTTGTAACATTCCTTCAGAGCGTTCCGGGACTTCTCCTTGAAGCAGTACACGGTCTCCTCCCCGTCCCAGATGGTTTTGGGCAGGGGGAACTTCTTCCGGAGCCGGTACTTGTCCACGGCGCCCAGGCTGCGGCCCCGGGACCTCTCCGCCTCCTTGTAGCGGGCTTTGAGGTACAGGTCCTGCAGGAACCCATGGTTAGAAGGGTGGAAGTCGTAGCTCTCCAGGATGGCGTACAGCTCCTTGAACTCCTCCCGGTGGAAGGCCACCAGCGCCTGGGCCTTCAGCAGCGTCTCGTTGCCACGTAGCAGCTCGGACGCAGGAGGTATGGTGGAGAGGAACCTCCACAGGCGATCCACATTACCCGCCTGCAGCAGGGCCTCGCACAGACACGAAACCTGGTCAGTGGAGAAACTCAGGGCCGACTTCTGGAAACTTTGGAGCAGATGTTCCGACACTCGAGCGGTTTCTTTGTCTTCCTTGGACTCGGCTGCTGACGGCTCCTCTGGGCTGTTCTCAGATTGTTCTGTAGACTCTAAAGACAAGGAAGCCATTTTCACTTTAACTTTTTTTTCCCCCCACTAGTAGTTCCTCCTCCCCTGTCTCTCCCTCCCTCTCTCTCTCTTCCTCCCTCCCTCCGCAGCGCTGCGTTTTTCCCGTCCTCCGCTCCGCCAGCAGACCGATTAATGTGCCTCCAGGCCAGGAGCAGACACGCCCCTCTCTCCTCTCCACTGCTGTCGGCACGATCCGACCCCTTCCAAATGTGATCTCAAGCTGCAGCTTTAATTAACTCCAACAGGGACTGTGTGTCTCAGGAGCCCAATTTGCCCCTAGCATTTCTGAACAACCATCGGCGCTCATACGCGCTTCCAGAACTTTCGATGGCAGTCGCCCAGGGCGGCAACGGAGAGGCAAACAAGGCGCCCGATAACTGTAAACTTTTGACATGTAAAAGTTTGTTGAAAGTATTCAGTGACCTCTGTTGTTTCCTGTAAACAATGTATTTTGTGTCCATCTTATTTGTCTTAAGTTGGTGAAAAATGTCTCATCATTTTTTGCTTTATCAGCAACAAAATGGATAAGGCACCATTATCACTACTTCTCACCACTAGCTCTACTATTAGAGCAGCTCATGGTGGAGGTATTTTCACTACCTCCACCATTATAACTGTGTTTGCTTGCCGGTAGTCGTTCTTCCAGGTGCGAGTGAACATTTGGGTCAAAGTGAGACACGGTGGTTGCATTATGCTCAGGGGTCGACTATTCTCAAGATGGAACAGGGCTTTTATTGAAAGATGGATGAAATTATAAATGACCCCCCAAAACTTCAAGTGTCTGCTAGCTATTGTAAGAATAAAGAGAGCTAAAATCTTTTCCTGCACAACAATGAGTCTAAACAGACTCCTAAATGAAGGCTTATCTGCATAAAAACAGAAGATACCAGAACTGCAGCTGTATTAGTCCTTACATCGTTTATGATTTATCTTTTCCCACTGGATCAAACGGTTGAGCATTATGCCAACGCAGTCTGCACAAACACATACCGATAGGCCAAAATGGCTCCACCAGCTATATGGATCAAGATGATTTTTGCATTTGACAGGAATTTTTATTTATTTATTTGACAAATGAATGAGTCTTCAGAGATGCATTGCTTTCCTCATGATTTGCTTTTGTTTACGTTGTGATAGAAGATGATGAAAATATATAAAAGCCTGAACTATACGGAAGAATGACAATCCCTGTGTTAGATGATCTCTGGAGACCTGCATCCACTGAGTACAAGAATGTAAATATTCAGGTAAATATGCCGGTTAAGGGGATTTCTCTTGTCCCTCTTCCTGTTAATCCCATATCCTTACCACTAATCTGCACTGTTCTTAATGTTTATGTGACCTTGCAGGAGGATTAATGAATTGAACAAATTTACAATTTAGCTTAGTTTTCTTTCTTCATCGATAAAAGCACCAAATTGCGGACAAAGAGAAGCTGTAATTCTTCATATTCTATCACCATCCACTGGCCCAGTCAGTTTGGTCTAGTAAAGTATATTTTTCACTGACTTCTAACACACTGCTCCCAATATAATAATAATAACAATAAAGGTATAGTTTTAAATATTTATCCCAATCCAAAGTCATGAGAGTTTTAGATATTTCAGTACACTTTGGAGGTGTAGGGGAGGAATAGCGCCCCCTATAGTTGCAGATGATTGAAGAGTCAGAAAATGGGGCCATTTTCACCGCTTTTCAAACCACATTTGCACTTTCACTCATGCATTTTGACCACAAAAGAGAAAATGTCTATTTTCTGCTGTTTCCCTCCTCAAAAGTCTCAAAATATCTAAATCTACCAATCCAACTTATCAGTGTCAGTCCAGCCTTCATGTAGATGCTCTAAAATCAAACCGATCATAATTCTTTTCAACACTTAATACAGATGTAACCATGCCTTCATCAAAAAATAATTCAACACTTTTTACTGGGTATGTAGATGGACCATTTGCACAACTGCGCCATCTAGTGGTTGCTCGTAGAGGTTGGGATTTTTAGTCCTGTCTTTTGATTGGTTGTTGATTTTGTCAACTGTTTCCGGAGGAGGAGGTCCTTCTTTGTCATATCGGATGACGGTAATTCTTATTGGTTGAGCCAGTTCTATCTCCGATGTGATTGGCGCGTTCCTCCCAAGGCGGGTAGAACCTTCCAGAGCAGGGCGTAGCAGGAATTGGAGTTTGAGTTTTCTGGCGTAAGTACAAAGCAAGGCTTGGTTCACCATTTTTGTTTTAGTGTCGTTGTAGTTTATAACGGTTTTTTAACCGCCTCTGTACGGCAAAACTTGCTCAGACCGCTGGAGATAAGACACACAAATGTAAGTAAATGGAAGAAAACTGTGGTTTATTCGAGGTGTCTCAATGGGTCTAATGTGGCTGCTGCTGCTGACCACCAACCCTGTCAGCTAGCTAACCCAGAGTGTAGCTAACGACAGTCATATTTAAAACGACAGCAAAAAGAAGAAGCCTCATTGAGTGAAATCAATCAGGAACAAATTCGGGATAAAAGCCACGTTACTTGCCTAAACGCTTGCTGTGACGCACAAAAACATGAGGACTTGTTGAAAAAAATATTGCATTCTCTGGCAAAAACGTGGAATCACTGCCTTTGTAGCATGCAAGATGTGTTATTATTACGTTGTTGCACCTCTGGTAACCCATACTTCCTGATAAAGTAGACGAATAATACTTTATTGCAACGTTTCATGTCCTGGTTACATTTGTTTAAGGTATAATCTTAATAAAGGGCGTAGGAACGAGTCTGTCATTGACAGATCAGTAAACAGCTGGAGCAGAAACCCTAACCCTATGTTCTTAATTATTGGAGACTAATTGTTACTCAAGTTTCGACAATCCCTTTAAGCAGTAAGCAGAGCAGTTTTGCAGGATATATATATATTTATATATATATTATTTATTTTGCATTTCAGGACTCTTAATGCTGTTTCCTTGTTGTAAAGATTGGCTGCTCTCCTAAAAGATAACTTCACAATAATCAGGCCAACTTTTGATAAATGCAGTGGCACCAAGCAAATACTTCAGCATCGTCTTCTTGACCAATTCAGATCAAAGGTTTTTCTGCCACTGCATTTAATAAACAATCACATTTTAGGGACTGATTTCACTTTGTGCAGTGAAAACGTACTTCCTTTGTAAATGTCAATGATCCCTTGAACTAGCCGTGTTCTTCACTCCCTGCCAGGTTGTCATTGTAAAGAATTTGTCCTCATCAACATCAGAGAAACCTTCCCAGTCTAGAAATGGGCATCCTTTCCTCAGAAGTTGCATAAAAAATGCCTAATTACATGTTTAAAACCTTTCCAATTCTGTTGGATGATCTTTTGATGGTATTTATTTTCATTTGTAGAAACAAGCTTTTAGGTGAGGCCCAAACAGAGCCCAGAATGGACGGTGAAGTGACGGTGGTTACCAACCCGTACGTGAAGGTCCGTATCACAAGCAGCCTTTCCAGCTTCGAGAACCGCCGAAGGTTCAATAAAAGAATTACTATTGCAGAATTAAAGGTAATATACAAGTATAACATCCTTTGCACTTTACTTTGACAATATTAACTAGTTCTACTTTCTAACTGTGGTCTATTCTGTATCTACTCTCTTGCACAAAGACGCTCCTGGAGATGAATGTGGGTGTACCTGCTTCCAGCATGGACCTGGAGATTTTTAGCACCACTGATAGGTTCCTACAGAAAATTGATAACGATGAAGCTGTATTTGGTTCCTACCCTGTGGATGATGAATGCAGAATACACGTACGTACAATATTAAAAGTTCCTGAAATGCAATATCTAGTGATATGGGAGATAAAATGGAAGTTACAGTGGATGTAAAATTGTTTACAAACTACACCGATTGAAAAGCTAGGACTGTGTGATGTAAAAATTGTTTTCCTTCTTAAATCAAGTGTGGGAACACTTGAACACTTATCTCACCAAACACAATTATTGGTGAGATAAAATGGGAATGTTTAACAGTCCTATCTGCTTGCATAAGCCTGCATTTGATACTCGTAAGGTACAGCATCTATTGATTTATTTGCAGTTTTCAGTCCTTGGTAGAACACTGTCGTCAGCGTGCTGCACCTTGACTCGTGAACGGCTCTCCTCACGTCGCTTATAGACTTCCTGTCAAATATATGGTCTGGGGTTAAAGGAAGCAACATTGTGTTTATTTAAATGTGTGCTGATCAGAAAAATATCTGATCATCTTTAGTTTTATATGAAATATCTGAAGGTTTTTTTGAAGAATCTGACTGATGTTTGCAACTTTACTTAAAAATTGGGTTGAAAATGTGGATAAAAATCTTTCCATGTGAACTAGGCATAATTCCAGATGCTTTTAGGAGATGTGGACATTAAAAAGTTAAAAAGAAAAGCTTCTTTAATAATGTTGCTGAACATTAATAATGTTACAGAATATGGTCACTCATTGTGACCAGATTCTGTGATTTTATTTTTATCAGCTATAAAAAACTTCCAGTCATTTGTAATGTGTTCTCCTCTCAATATATTGCTCTAAAAAGTTGTATAATAAATCCTCTTTTTTTTCTTTCTTTCTTTCTTTCTCTCTCAAAGTGACCCTAATACTCTGTTGCATAAATACAATTTTGACCTTTACTGGGATTTTATTTTTGTATAATCAGAGTGTGTGGATGACAGCAGGTTTTCCTTTTTAATTAGTATTGATGTTTGACGCAGAGGTAGATTATCTCTGTATGAATTATATATATATATTATATATATATATATATATATATATATATATATATATACACACATATATATATATATATACACACTCCTGATCAAAATCTTAAGACCAGTCAAAAAATTGCAAGACTTGCATTTAGCATTATTGGATCTTTAGAAGGTTCTAAGTAGAGCTTCACAATGTTAAAAGAAGAAATCAGCATAAGAGACAAAAACATTTGAGCGGAGAATTAATTGAAAACTGCATTTATACTCAAACATGATTTTTTCAGCTGATCAAAAGTTTAAGACCATAGCTCAAAAAACCTCCAAACCCCCCAAAACAGAATCAAAGTGCCAAAAAAGGACTCAGTATGAGTAGCTCCACCATTCTTGTTGATGACGTCAAACAATCGTTTAGGCATGCTTGATGCCAGTGTTTCCAGGAGGCTAGTGGGAACATTGCTCCAAGTGTTGAAAATGGCTTCACGAAGGGCATCCACTGTCTGGAACTGATGTCCATTTTCGTAAACTTCCCTTGCCATCCATCCCAAATGTTCTCAATTGGGTTTAGATCCGGGGAACATGCAGGATGGTCCAAAGAGAGTGATGTTATTCTCTTGGAAGAACTGCTTTGTCAGGCGGGCATTGGTGAACTGCAGCATTGTCTTGGTGAAAACCCAATCATTACCACACAGACGAGGGCCCTCAGTCATGAGGATGCCTGCTGCAACATCTCCACATAGCCAGCTGCTGTTTGACGCCCCTGCACAACCTGAAGCTCCATTGTTCCATTGAAGGAAAACGCACCCCAAATCATGATGGCGCCCCCCCACTGTGCCGTGTAGAAAACATCTCAGGTGGGATCTCCCTGTCATGCCAGTAAAGTTGGAAGCCATCAGGATCATCAAGCCAAAAACTTTTTCTCATCAGAGAAGACAACTTTCTTCACCTTTCAATGTCCCATGTTTGGTGCACCCTTGCAAAGTCCAAACGGGCAATTCTGTGGCGTTGAACAAGACGTGAACTTTGAAGACGTTTTTTGTTTCTGAAGCCCTTCCCTTGCAGATGCCGTCTGATGGTTATCGGGCTGCAGTCGGCACCAGTAATGGCTTTAATTTGGGTAGAGGATCGTCCCTTGTCTTGATGGACAGCCAATCGGATCCTGCGGTTCAGAGCTGGTGAAATTTTTTTTGGTCTACCGCTTGACTTTTTTGTTCCATAACCCTCAGGATCATTTAAGAAATGCAAAATGACTGTCTTACTGCGTCCAACCTCAGCAGCAATGGCACGTTGTGAGAGGCCTTGCTTAGCTCAACAATCCTGCCATGTTCAAAGTCAGTGAATTTTTTTGCTTTTGCCATCTGGAAGTCTTGACAGTGTAAAGACTTCACAGAACATGACATGGAATCCAGATTTTTGCACAGCTTTTGGCTTTTAAAGACTATGGTCTTAAACTTTTGATCAGCTGAAAAAATCATGTTTGAGTGTAAATGCAGTTTTCAGAAAATTCCCTGCTAATGTTTTGTCTCTTGCACTAATATTTTCTTTTAACATTGTGAAGCTCTACTTAGAATCTTCTTAAGATTCAATAGTGCAAAATGCAAATTCTTGCAATTTTTGACTGGTCTTAAGATTTTGATCAGGAGTGTATATATATATATATATATATATATTATATATATATATATATATATATATATATATATATATATATATATATATATATATATATATATATATGACCTGACAATCATCTGTGGTTGTCATATTAATGTGTTTGTCTCATTGTTCCCTGACAAGGTTATTGATAGGAGTGGAGGACAGACCAGCGAGTTGTTTGATGATTCCAAAGTGGAGAAGTTTGAGCTCTCAGATGAGGCCTATGAACAACGGAAAGGTACAAAATTCACACTTTTCTCCTCTTAAATTTGTTCCTAAAACAAATCATGGATTAAAAATTGATTGGACAAATTTTGAATTTCACAAACCAACTATTTTGAAAGTGACAAGATAAGTATTAAAGGTACATTTGTAACCCCCTTCAGTTAAAAACAAAAACATGGGCATTGATTACATTTTAGTTAAGTAAAAACTGATTTGTTGATCATTCATTAGAAATGAATGTATGTTCATGGTTTGAACCTTGAGTCACTCTGTATGGCTTTGGTCATTATTACTCAATGTACAAAATGCACATATCTTGTAGAATCCGTCCGGTCATTCTTAAAGAAGCAGAATTTAGGCCGCTTCAACGAGGAAGAAGCTGCTAAGAAGAAAGCTGAGCTCACCATTCGGGAAGAACAGCAGAAGACTGCAGCTGAGGCCATTTCTGTCGGCAGCCGCTGCAAAGTGGAGGTTCCTGGGCAGCCCACAAAGCTCGGCATGGTTATGTATGTTGGTAAGTGTGTTTAAAATGTCCAGATTCATTTACCCTGACTGGTGACATTTGAGTCAGAAGCCAAATTTGACAATATTGTAAATGTTGTAAATATTACAACATTTACAATATTTTTCCTGGTATGTGGAATATATCTGGTTTATTCGGACTGTAGGAAGCAGTGAGACTATTTTATTATGAGGACTCAAGAAGATAAACATTCTGTATTAGACCATTATGCCTTGTGAAACCTTCACCCAAGGACAGTTTCAAGGTGCTCTATTTTGTCTGTGTGATCTCTCAGTGTGTATCTGCCGGATTTGAAAATTCTGGTACCATTTTGGAAAACAAAATACTGATTAAAGCATTTTTAAATTCAGCTCATGTTGCTGAAACAAGGAGCTGGAAAATAAAACAACCAAACTTTCTGAATGCAGACAATACAACAATAAACTAATATTCCCATTTTTTGTTAGTAACCTGTCACTTGTCCTGAAGTTTCACTTTTCTTTGTTTAAGCAAAATCTTGTGCCTCACGTATGGTCAAACAGAACATGAATACATGGCACAACACGCTACCGATTGCTGCAACTTCAAGAGAATAGAGACTTCCTTTGCTTTGTTGCATTTAAATATACTGCTTTAAGTTAGTCTCAGTAAACACTGTTCAGAGTCAGTGTTGAAATCCAAAAGTTTAACTTGGTGTTATTTTGTTTAAACAGTGGAGCTTATTATTGGTAGGAGGATGATGTCTGTTAAAAACATAGACTTTTATTTTTGAGGTTTCTGCTCAGTCATCAACATTTTCCTTGACTGTTTAAAATAAGGGGAAAAAAAGATTATGGAAAAATATTTGCGTTTGCAGACTTTATTCTCAGTCTTATCATCTAATGTGTACAATCGTAGGAACAACAGAGTTCAAGTCAGGTCATTGGGTGGGTGTGAAGTACGACGAGCCCCTTGGAAAACACAATGGAACGTAAGATGACCCCCCCCCCCTCATTAATGTAAAGAAATGTTAACAATTTTTGCAAATTTTAATCTTAACTTATTTTTATTGTGTGTCCAGCGTTCAGGGGAAGCAGTACTTTGAGTGTCAAGACAAATACGGGGCATTTGTGAAGCCGTTGAATGTGACTGTGGGAGACTTCCCTGAAGAGGATTACGGTTTGGATGAGATATAGAACTGTTCTGGTTGTTGTTGTTGTTTTTTTCTTGTTGCGGTCATCTATTTTAATTTCAGATCCACTCACTGAACAGAGAGGGAGGAGAATGACTGATTTATTGTAACAAATGTTCCTGTTTGTTCCGTGGATGGCATGATCCGAAGGCACTTTAGCTGGAAGTTTCTTTTTTCTGCAGCCTCGCAGAAGTGATTGTCAATTTGTGACTTTAGACGAGTCATTTAAAAAACTAGTTACATCTGACAGTGCTGCAGACAAGAAGGTTTTTTTTTTTTCAGATTAATGTATTTAAGTTTTCTTATTTTGTCTTGTTTTTGAATCAGTTTGAATATTTTTTGTTTTCAATTCATGTTAGTGTGTCTGAATTTTGTGTAACTGCGCTTATTTACAGTCGTATTGTTTAAGGACTGTCAATCGAGTTTAAAATTCACTCTAATCATACTTTGATAGTAAATAGGGTCACTTCAGGTTAGTTACTTTATGATTGTTGAGGGTAAATCAAAGCTGCAGACGGTGGATGCTTACATTTTTTAAAACAAGTCGCTCTCAGAAAATGGATCACATTTATTTTTTTAAGTAACAGGTTTCATTTTCTTGTGTGAACACTGTTTTTTCTGACAATACTGCTGCTTTTTTTCTTCTTTTTTTTTAAAAAAAGACCAACAAAATGCTTTCCTTCTAAGCAAAACATGGCTGCTTTGTTTGTCACGTATCACCACTGTCCCGCAGCAAAAGTCACATATTTGTGCAACCCGTTTGCTCAGTTACCTGCAGATCTCTGTAACTGCATCACTCGGTGTCGAAAGGTGTTGCATTTCAAATTGATGGTAGGCTATATGTGAAAACACTTAGCATATTGTTTAATTTGAAAAAATGTGAAATTGTTATAATTTCATTGTCTTCTCAATAAAGTTGGTGGTAATTATTATTCACTGACCTCTAAGGTGCTGGTGACAATATGTGCCAAAGGATAATCCACACTAATAAAGTCGGTACACATGATCAGCATTTGTTTTGATTTGTTTTTTTGACTTGTTATAATAAGTGAATCATATATTATGTTTTCCATCCTGACCAACAAATCTGATTTGAATTTTAAGTGTTTTAGCTTATTAGTCACAATAATCTGACTAAATGCAAAATTCTGTTCAAAAGATGATGTCATGCCTGGAGTTTCAAAAACCTACTTTGCTAAATCATGAGTGCTCAGTGATGAGTCATGTTTTGGTTCATATTAATATCCATACCAGGCCATATTGCTGTAGAATCAAGTAATTACCGGTTCCTGTCAGGCAGCAGGTGGAATAGGATCTCAAAAATCAACTCATTCTATATGCATCTAAAGAAATTCAAGAAGAAGAAATAAGAAGTCAATTACATTTATCAGTGTGGAAAGGGTTACAAAGCCATTTCTAGGGCGTTAGTGCCTGTGTGAGAGCCAATATCCGCAAATAAAACACTGAACTGTTGAAAACTTTCCCACTAATAAAATCAAAGAAAGTAATGTAAGATAATGTTTGGTCGTAATTTTGTATATTTAAGCTCAAACATATTTCATTATCCTGTGGGATAAGATTCAAAGCACAGCAGCAAGTCCAATGTCTCGGAAAAACTAAGTATGAATCTGAATCTGATCAATAAGCTATGGCAGGATGACCTTTATCATCCCTTTCCATATTAATAAAACATTTTGCTTTGAAATGACAAATAACCACTTGATTATAATTTATTTTGATTATAACATTAAGTTACAAAAAAATGAATGACCCACATGTGTTAAACATTATGAAATACTGTCATTTTTATTTCTATGTTAAGTGATTTTTTTTTTTTTTTTTTTTTTGCAATTCGATATTTAAGCATTACGAGAAGGCGATGAAGGAACTCTCACAAGACGGTCCATCACTCCGATGACGGTACAGCGGCCGTATCGCGAGACTAAGCGCAGTTTCCCGGCCAGCAAGTGTGGTGTTTGCGCGATAGAGACGAGGAAAGATGGCGACGCAGGGGAGCGAGTCAACTAAACCTACAGTCAGCAACGGAGAGGTAAAATGAATGACAGCCTTACAGCGGGTTTTTACTCGTCACGTTCGGAGAGTTGGAGTCGGTTTGACGGTTTCAACGTGGCGTTTGCTCGTCCTAACATTTAACCGTGTCAACCGTTGCTGCGTGAGCCTCAGTGACGTTGTCAGTGCCGGTTGGTTTTAAAACGACCTCCCGTCGCCGCTCACGGTGTGTTGTGAAACTGTTAGCGAGTCGAGACACGGAGCGAAGGAAGTGTTGGCAGTGGAAAATGTGCCCGAGGGCGAACCTTAAAATAATCCCGACTACATGTTGAGTTTAACGTGTTGGTGTTTAACCAGCTGACAACCGCAGCTTGACAGTTAGCTTTCACAAGGCCTGAACCTGGTCAGCGCAGCATGGCTTCATTAACTGGGCCAGTGTGTTCCCACTCATTTCAACTTTGAGTTAAACCCTTTCACATGCTGTTCTCCTCCTCGGTGTCAGAGGTGGCCGTTCAAATGAAACGCTGCCTCTTAAGATTGGTCAGGCTGGGGGAACCAGATGTAGCTTAGCCAAAAACTGCCGAACAAGGTTCCTACGCAGTGTCTTTACAGAATGGAAAAGTAAGCGTAATAAATTGGCTTCAATTCGACAGTTTTCTGCTCCAGGACAGCTTTAAAAAGCTCTGTCTTAAACAATCTACCCACACTTTTCAAATCCGAACCGATCAATCCTTCTAAAGATATACATCCCGTATTAGACCATTATGGCTTGTGAAACCTTCACCCAAGGACAGTGTCAGTCATTTTTATTGGCATCTAAACTACTGTGGATCAGTTTCATTTCTGCAGGAAAAGAGCTATTTAAACTATTTCAAACTATTTACTCTGAAGTAGCACTGAAGTTAATTTTTAAGTAACAATTAGACCAGATGTGTAGGTTTTATATAAAGAGAGATAAAGAGTTTTGTTTTTTTAAAGCTTAAATTTGAGGTCATTTATGTTCCTCAGCTTACTTTGTCCCAAGATCATAAAACGCTGAATTAAAAAAAATGTTTTAACCATATTGCCATGAAACCTACTATGAACAATCATCACTGAATGTTTTACTTTTCAGCAGTTGGAGTAAATGTTAGTTCATTAAAGTTATAATAATCTTGTCATTAGCCAAAGGGTCATGTTTGTTACTGTAGGATATATTTTGACCATTTTAAAATGTCATCTACCATAAAACCAAAAACACCAAGCTTTCTCAAAATGCTAATATTTAGTGAAATTCTCATATTGAGGCATAAATTGTTTCCAAGTCTTGACGGAATCCTTTGTTGTACATAGGAACTTGAAAGCTTCATACAGACTGGTTTATTTAATGATTCCTATTCATTTTGAACAATATTAAACATGGATTTGTTGGATCAAAATTTTAACAATTAGCCCTGTCTAGATCACTAACAGCAATAGGGAAAAAATATGTATTTTCAGTATTTTGTGTGTGTTTTAAAAATATGTTGAAAATCTGCTTCCCACAATAGCTGACACAAATCTGTTTTTAAGGCAATAGCACAGCCTTTAATTGCTAATCAAGTGATTGAAACTCAACAATGGTAACCACAAAAGCTCAATCAGCTCTATGATTTAATTTGGATTATCTGGCCAGATGTGTGGATGGGTATGCTTTTTTTTGTTTGTGGTGAATGCATTCAGTAAACATAGCTAAAAGTAGATGCCATGGTATGTAAATACAGACCTTTTACCATAATTTATATGTATTGTATAGGACTTTACTATTTAGTTTTAAATTATAAAATGAATTTACAAAATGAACTTCTTAAAATGGTCTGTAAGAAGTTCAACTATAAGACCATGAGAAGTTATGGTCCTATTCGTTTAAATAACATTTTAAACAAATAAGACCATAAAAGCAGAAAAATGGCCAATCTTTTTTTTTCATTGTTTGTACTGGATATTTATAATAAATACTTGCACGTAAGTGTCAAAAGTGGAGGAACAATCAAGTGGACATTTATTCCACTAAAAGTCTGAAGTTCTAACATTGTGTGTATCAGCATTAGTGGCATAAAAGTTGCAATATTTGTAGAGAAATTTCTTAATGCACTTAACACAACTTGAAAACAACTTGGGTGAAGAACTAGAACAGTGAAGATACAAATTTCCCATAGAAAGTAAAATAGTAATATGGAGAACTTAAATGTACCTGACCAGGCAGAGATTGATCGAAATGAAATGGAAGCAACCAAACAAAATGGAAAAAGAGACACTAAAGAAAAAAGATATTTAAAGGTAACTAAATAACCAGAAGATATTCGCTTGACAAACACATGCGTTATCTAGCTGGTAGAAAAGGCCTCCGGTCTTATATTTGTTCCCTCTAATTAAGTGTAGTGTTGCAAAAAGACAGTTATTTTCTGAACATTAGTCATCATAACATGTTACTAAAGGTCACTGTGAATCATCACTTTAAACTACTTCTCTCCTGCGTGCTTCAGTCTCATGCCCATAAAAATCCAAAGCATCATTTTTCACAAACAGATGAAACTGGATAAAAAATGAAGCAGCAGTGAGTGGCAATAAAAGGCCTAGAATGTGGATCATCATATCTTAGGTAGTTGTAAATCTAAAACTTGTATGTTGTTGTAGATTTGTTTTACAAACATATTGGCGGCATGTATTTTAATTTGATCGAGTGTTGCTTAACAATGTTTGCATCATCTTCAAAGGGATTCCTTAATTTTCTAAATGAATTAAAGTTCTTTGAGTTAGAACATAGTTGCCACTAAAAAACAAGACTTATCTGTGTTTGGGAATCTTGATAATGTCTTCAGGAATTTTGTGAATGTTCTTCATGCATTTGAATGATAAATTTTGGAGTCCTCCAGGATTTTGTCTGCCAGAAAGAAAGATGCTTCGCTCTGGTTTCCATGTTCCCGGCCAGGACAATGCGTTTTAAGTGTCTCTTTGGCAACGCAAATGCTGTGCAAAGATAAATTTACAATTAATTACAGAGTGAGCAGTTTCCCAGCTCTCCAAATGTCCTATGGCTAATCTGGAGAAATTTCTGAGACGGCGTTCTGAGAGGGGCGTCAGTCCATGACGCCTGGCCAGATTTAATCATAAGTGTGTGGTCTGCTCTGTTCTGTAACACCAGTGATCTCAGCACATCAGTCAAGTGTAGATTTCTCTTGCATTACATCTGAATGTAACTATGGAAAGCTTGGGTGAATCAGGCTTGTGACACAAAAACAAAGCTTTTATTTTATTTTTACTGCTGTCACAAAGTGACATTGCAAATAAACTACTTTTTTAAAACAGGGTTTTTTTGTTGTCTCTAATCCCAGATTGAAGGGTAAAACTAGTGTGAATAATTTGGCTGGGCAACCCAGTGAATGATTAAACTTTGTTCAGCCGGTGTAAATTATTATCTTAAGGTGGAGAGATGACCTTTTTCTATTGCCGAGTGCATATTTGGGTTTTCTATAGATGTGTTTCATCCAGAAAACAAATGTATACAAAATGAACTTTGCATACAGATTGTTAGCTTTGTTTTATTTTTGCATAGCAGGATATGGTAGTGAAGATGAAAAGCCCTATTTTTGTCCACTTCATAGCCTTCAACAGTTAGGCTTTTTTATGTTAAGTCAGTTGAATGCTTCAGATCTTCTCATTTCCTTGTTGTCTTTGAAAGCTACCTAACCTGTTGAAACCGACGACACTCTTAGCTGTGCGCTGTCTGTTTTAAGAGGCCAACCAGAGCGCTCCCTTGTGTTTATAACAACAGAGTAGATTAGATGGTTAGATGGATAGTGAATGAGTCTCATGACTTGCCATGTGCTTGTCTATTGTGACACTTGAATAGACTGTGGCCTTGCCAGAGGGGAATGGGGAGTTACATTGGCATGGTCCAGCTTGGGGTAAAGAGACCACTAATATCCCCTTTTACTGATCCAAGGGATCATTTACAGAGATGAAAACCTTCAAATGAAAATGAGATGGAGGGCTTTTACCTTTGGCCTCTACTTCTAAGGCTTTATCATTTCTTTTGATAGAGTATTATGAACACCATTTCTTTCACCATTCATGTATTTCATAAAAAAAGCAATCTTACTTAGTTGTTGCCTCATCAATTAAAAAGATCAGTTATTATACATCAAAGTGATTTGTGTTCTTGTCAGGTCAATTAGAGGGAAACTTAACGTATACATTTTAACTTAGATGAGGTTTTTGGTTGCTAAATAAAGTTGTAAATGTTTAGAAAAACCTACCATACATGCTTTCAAAAAGACATTTTCCCATCATGCATCTGGTCCTTGTTTAGATTCTTAAGTTTCGACCGCAGTTGCAGTGACAGTTTCTGCACAATCTTAAAAAAAAAAAAAGTGTGATATTTTGTGTTTAAGTATTTTCCAGGTCTGCATTAGAATGGAGGGGGGAGTATGGAGGAATATATCTATTGCAAGACTTTATTTCCCTTTTCCCCTTCTGTATACCTGTCTGTTTGTTGTTTATAGTTTTTTTTATATTTCATTGAAAATTACAAGATTAGGGAATATGTTATTATTTAAAATTGCATAAAAATGTTTGTAATAACTAATACTATTCTCACTTCATTTGTTGAGCAAATCAGAATTCTGTTTCAGCAATACTTATTTACACACTGGTACATAAGTTTCCACTGAGACTGACATTGTGGCATTATCCACTGCTGCATCACCAATAAGTCTTCTATTTGGCCACCCTTACATCTTCTTCATGTTTGTGTTTGTAGGTGAGCAGCAATGGAACCGCTGCAACAACAGACGGTCAGACTGTGCAGACAGTTGAAAATGCCCAGGATCCTCAGCAGCAGCAGCAGCAGCAGCAGCAACAAGCACCTAATGCCTGGCAGGTCATCAAAGGCGTCCTCTTTAGGTGAGCTTTACTTACCTTTAATTCAGACTGAGTGACTCACTTCACCACCTGGCAGATAAAGGGCTAGCATGTCATTGTAATAATAAAATGGTATGCCATTAGAATCATAATGGAGTCACTGTTTTATTTAAGGATACAATAAAACAAAAATAATCCGCTGCAGGTCACTTAGTTCACTGTGCTCCAGATCTGTGTATGGACTCTGCAGTCGGTTTTTTCTGCTTCTCTTCTCTGAGTCATCATCTTTTCTGTGCAAATTGAAGAATACAGAATAGGACAAAAAAAGAGAATAATTTTCCTAATGGTTGAAAAAGATCCAGTCCTGAAATAGAAACTTCATGATGTTCCAATTTCAGTTTTGTTGTCCTGACACAGCTGCTTCAGCTTATTCTTCGTTTCTCATTGATACAAATGTTATCGTCATTTGGTTACTGCAGTTAAAAAGTGATATCACTTGACTAAAGCAGAACATTTTGTTCCCTCATTGATGTAATTGGTGATCTTTTTACTTTGTGGTGTTCTGTTTTTTGGTGTTTTAAATCTGCAAAATGAGACACTGAAGGATTTAATATAATTTTTTTCATCTGTTTTTAGGTTTTAGTTGCATGTGAAATTCAGCAAAGGAAGTGGTTCTTTTACACACAACTTAATGACGTTTACATCCAGATAAAATATATTACTACTTAAGTTCCAAATAGTTGACGGTGAACAAGCAAAACATTTTAGAATTTTAATTACCTTTCCACCAAATAAAAAACGTAAAAGTTTCAACATGAAATCAAATTCCGATTTTAATACGAGAACCACAGTGAAATAAAAATGACATTTGACATGTTTTTTATCTTCTGTACCATTTTTACCTTCGACTGTAGGTCGGCTAAGTCAACATTTTACTGATTTGGTGTCGCTTGTTTCTTCAGAATCTTCATAATTTGGGCAATCAGTAGTTGGTTCCGCAGAGGGCCATCCACTCCTGACCCCAACACACCAGCAGGGGCCCCTAGAGTACCCAGCAGGAACCTCTTTCCCAAAGACACCCTCATGGTACAGCACTTTTCCTCTTTGTCTTCCTGTTTTCTCATTTATGTGCGTTAAAGATATACAAAAATAAAAATATGTAGTGTTTTTTAAAAGTTGTTTGAAATATCTTTGACAAAATTTGAGTTTGAATTTAGTAGGCATTAATATTTTTTCAAGGCACCATACATATAAAAAGAATAATGTATTCAAGATCTTCATTCCTAAACAGCCCTCATATTGGGATCCCTAAAGTAATCACACCATGGCTGAGTGTTGGCATACTCTCAGCCTATCTGGCTGGATCTCTCCTGACGCTGTAATAAGATAAACACCTTTTTTTTTCCTCACCAGGACCTGTACGTCTATGTGTCCCAGGAGGAGGTGTTCTCTGACTTCAACAACACAGATGCCCTTTTCTGGTTCCACAGGGACCTGGTCTACGGAGACTGGGCCACAGGGGAGAGCGGAGATGGCTGCTACCAGCAATATAAAGAGTTAGACATCTCAGAGGTAGCGGTTTCTGAGAATGGAGGGGGAGGAGGTTTCTACAGCGGAAGAGTGAGTTTGATAAATTTGTGTCTGCAACTCCTAATGTCTTCCCTTTTGGTGCTTGATTACAGAAAGTTCAGCAGAACGGCTCCCTGCACATTCATGTCTATTTCACTAAAAGTGGATTCCACCCCGACCCGAAACGCAAGGGGCAATACCGCAGACTGGCAATAGTTCATTCAACAAGAAGTAAGGACCAGGAATACAGAAACAACTTTTTTTTCCATAGTAATTAAATAACCATTGATCACTGATTTTTTTTTTTTTCTCCTCAGTGCTCAATAAATTCAAACGAAGGAAGTTTCTGAAAACTAAGAATCTGCTCACAGGAGAGACAGAAGCAGATCCTGAGATGATTAAGGTGAACTCACACAAAAAACACAATTATGAATAAAATCTAGTCCAACCCCTGCATTTTTGTCAGATATAACATCCCTATTTCAACAGGGCGCAAATATTTTTTGTTGTTTAAGAAAAGAGGGGGGAAAGATTTTCAAAATAAAACTTTTAACATCGCCAGATATATATTTTTTCCATTTGTAACGGTGCTTACCTGTACCAATTGATCTAATAGCTTCATATCAAAATCACATGTAATGTAGCAAAGATTTCTGCAAAAGGTTGAATACACAGAAAAGAGAGCAAATAATTTAATCACTAGAAATATTTTCTGATCTAATGAGCATAAGAGCATCAACACATTTGTTCTACAAACTGGATAACCCAAGTAAAAGATCATTTATTTAAATTTTAGTCTGTTTTTTTAAGTAGCTTTTCTGTTTTTGTTGTTGGCTGTTGCTGCTCTGAAATGTCTCAACTATATTTCCTCACAGCGGGCAGAGAGCCACGGTCCAGTGGAGATCATCTCCCACTGGCACCCCAACCTGACCATTAATATGGTGGATGATCACACAGCCTGGGTGAAAGGCTCTGTCCCACCGCCTCTAGACCAATGTAAGTTCACTTCCTGTTTTTAATGTTTCAGTTGTAACTGAATTTCTAGCTTGGTTTTACATCTGTTATTCCCGTTGTTCTGTGTCTGACTCCAGATGTTAAGTTCGACGCAGTAAGTGGCGACTACTACCCCATAGTTTACTTCAATGACTACTGGAACCTGCAGAAGGACTACTATCCCATCAACGAGACCCTGACCAAACTCCCACTGAGGCTCACCTACTGCCCACTGTCCCTGTGGCGCTGGCAGCTCTACGCCGCCCAGAACGCTCGCTCGCCATGGAACTTCCTACCTGAGGACACGTACGAGCAATCTGACGAAGACCAAGACTCAGTCAAGGTGAGCGCCCACGGCTAAATACAATGATGTGATGTCACATTGTCCTGTTTTTGGTTGCAGTAGTGTAATCTACTAATTTACTGTTAACATGTTACATCGGAAAAGAAATTTACAAGAAATTTACAAGGCTCTAAATTATAGTAAACGGTGTTTTAATAAAGATGAGCGTAAGAGCAGGAATATTTTCAAATTGCAAGAAAGATGGAAAAAAGAAGATGAACACATTTGTATTCACAATATTTAAAAAATGAGTTTCAATAAGGTTAGCCTCATTTGTACATTAATAGATATTTTTATTGCTTTTTGTATTAAAGAATATTTCAGTTTGTTAAAAAATTATTCAGAACTTGATCTGATTTGGCTCTTCATTAGTCTTAGTGTGGTTTTATTATCTTTGTTAAATAAACCCTGTGAATAAATTGTATGCTTTGACATTAAAATGTTATTTTTCCTTGTACAGGTCGCCCTTTTGGAAACCAATCCGTACCTGCTGGGACTCACTATTGTGGTGTCTATTGTACACAGCATCTTTGAGTTCCTCGCATTTAAGAATGGTGAGTAGGCAGATATTTTTTCTTTATTTTTCATCCGAAACAAAAGGTGTTTTAGTGTGGTCTCCCAGCTGAGCTTCACCACATCATCCCCTGTTTTTCTTCTTTTCTTTCCTTCCCATTAGATATCCAGTTTTGGAACAGCAGACAATCTCTTGAAGGTCTGTCTGTGCGCTCCATCATTTTTGGGGTGTTTCAGTCTCTTGTTGTGCTGCTGTACATTTTGGACAACGAAACCAACTTTGTGGTGCAAGTCAGCGTCTTCATCGGTCTTCTAATTGATCTGTGGAAAATCACCAAGGTTATGGATGTCAGGGTAAGTAAATAAACACTAACCAATGTGTGCATTTTGCTGTAAAATCAGGTGAAGTTTCTATATTTTAGGGAAGAAATTAAGTCAGAACCAAATTAAACATGTATATATATATTACGAGGCCTGTCACAATAAACAATAAATCAATTAATCGCATGATAAACTAGAACAAACGCAATAATTTTCATTTGCTTGGCTTATCATGTTTCTCTCTTTCTACCAAAACTGGTCTTCAGTTTGATGCTCTGGCTTAAACTATTGCTGTTTTTCGAAAGATAATTTTGTCTACAGGGAGCTCAAAATTAATTTTATTAGTTGTTTCTGTTATTTTCTTCATTTATTTTGGATATTTAAAATGTCTTCCAGTCCCAATGTTTAAATATTGATCAGAATTTAAAGTTTATCAATGTTTGAGGAAGTTTTCATTATTACCATTAAATTGAAAATTGTCTCAAAACAATATTATCTTTTATCGCAATAAGTCATGACAAAAATGTGTTATTGTGACAGGCCTAAAAATAACATGTTACGTTTTTTTTTTATGTGGGCTTAGCTGGTGTAATGTAGCTGGAGGAGGTATGATGTATTTTCCAGAGATAAAGTATCATTTTATAGCACAGTCAAGCAATTATGTTGCCTTCAGTAATTAACAAAATGCTGTATATATACAAAATAAATTAAAAGAAATTTGACTTTGCATTACAGCCATAATTGATGCCTTGAAATTGGCTTCTGTCTCTTTAACAAGCTCTTACTCTTTCTAGTTCCCCTCCAGCACATTGTGGCAAGAATTATAGCCGGAAGTAGTAGGGGTTGGGCTCATTATAAATTTTTTTTACCAGATGTTTGTGAATTTCTGTTTTGATTGTTATTTTTTGCTCCCTCTAGTTGGATCGAGAGAACAAAATCGCAGGGATTCTTCCAAGATTGGTATTCAAAGATAAATCAACATATGTGGAGTCTTCAACCAAAATCTATGATGACGTAAGTTTGCATGACGTTCAGGATGCAGCACTTTAGTCATGTTTATTCTGGTAAATTCAATTTAAAAAGGGAAACTCATGTAAAAATGAAGTGAATAACTATTTTTTATAGTTGAAAAAAATAAGAATAAAGCTGAAATATTATTAAAACCAAATTTAAGTCTGTGGTAGTGATGTGACGTTACGGCCTGTTATAAACGTTTGTATTGCTGACCTGCGTCATCGTCGTCTTGCAAACAGCAGGTGATGCCTTCTACTAGTAAGGACCGGGGCAGAAAGCTTAAAATGGTCATTGCTAAAGAAGGTTGGCTATGTTCAGCGTGTTGTCAAAGCATATTTTTGAAAAGTTAAGTGGAAGGAAAATGTTTCCCAAGTTACAGAAATAATAATCATTGTTAAGAAACATTAAAAAGAGTTTCACTTTTTAAATTGAATTCACCTGGGCTGATGGAGTTGAATCAGTCAGCAAAGTTGTTTCCTTTTGCCAAGCCTGAATGACGATGCCTGATGAATGACCTGAACGGGTCTTTTTAGGGTGTCTGAGGTTTTTTTATTCAGTTGTATTTCACTAAAACATCAATGTACATCAGCACAAATAACACAGAGTTGTGTTGACCTCCGTTCTGTGTTGTGTTAACAGATGGCCTTCAGGTACTTGTCATGGCTGCTCTATCCTCTGTTCGGCTGCTACGCCGTCTACAGTTTATTGTACGTAGAGCACAAAGGATGGTACTCCTGGGTCCTCAGCATGCTGTACGGCTTCTTGTTAACCTTTGGTAAGTTTATCTGATGGTTTCATGCCCTTTATTACATTTTTTTTTTTTGCTGCTTGCTCTCTGCTGCAAGGAACATTTACAATAATCTCAGCTGTGACCATGGAAATAAAAATAAATCTAGATTTATAGTAATTTAGGCTTGTAATGTTCCACCTGTTGAATCAAGGCTTTTTTTAAATTGGACATTGTGAAAAAACCCCTAATAAACAATACCTGCATTTATTTTATTTTAGACTGCAAAATGTGAAATATTCAATTGGATTGAAAATGTTATGCTGATTGATTGTTTGGTATTTTAAATAAACACACTATGGACGTGTTAAATATTCAGATTACAGCAGCAAAACGTACTAAGCTGTTAAAAATTTGCCCTTTTGTGTCTTTGTGTTGTAGATTTCCCCAAATAGATTATTATTCTCTTACTAAATGTTCAGTGTTTCTTTATCTGCTGGTGATCTTATTGTGCATATACTAAAATTTCTGTGAGTGCTTGTATCGTTTTAGTGGGATGTTTTATCAGGTTTGCTGCATCCCTTAAACTGTACCTGGCAGCAAACGCACCTTCTGGTTTTTGTACTTGCATCATAGTTGCACATCTGTATTCCCTGAAGTCTCTGTTAAGGCTTTGTGTATTTTTAGAATTGCACTCCGGCAAGTTGCCTGCTTGCTTTACTGAGTTGATTGTATAACCAGCTGCTTTCTATCCCTGCTTTGGCTGTTTTAGGTTTCATTACAATGACGCCGCAGCTATTCATCAACTACAAAATGAAGTCTGTAGCTCACCTCCCGTGGAGGATGCTCACCTACAAGGCTCTCAATACCTTTATTGATGACCTGTTTGCCTTTGTGATCAAGATGCCCATGATGTACAGGATAGGATGCCTTAGAGACGGTAAGTCCTTTCTTGATGCAGGTGCTTGAGAAGAAGGCAACTGGATTTCTCTCTTCTTTCTTGATGGTGAATGAGAGATGAAATGACATGAAACAAGAGAAGTCTAGTTGCCTTCTACTAAAATATTTAACTGACAATCTCCACCAGCTGATGATTATGCTAATCAGAGAATGTTATGTGACTCTAACATGATGCGTGCTGTTTTTGTTTGATGCGTTTTAGGTTTTTACTCTAGAGGCAGTAAATCCAGAGGCTTTGTGTTTGTTTGGAGGAAGATTTGCTCAAATTCTTTTGTTTAATATCAACCAAAAATGGAGCACACAAATATTTGCTCTAGGATTCTAGCGATGATTCAAACCTGCTGTCCAGATTACAAGAATGCTCCGGCTCAACTTTTACTGTAGTTGATGCTCCAACTCCACCTTGTGGCAATTAATTGGAGCTAATTATAAACAATTTTCTTTTCATTTTGAAGAAAGCATTCTTGATTCAGCTATTATGTTAAAAATCAGATGTATTTTTGGGCATTGTTTTTAGATTTAAATATTTTGAATTTTACTTATTGTAATTTTAAAGATATTTTTGTTTTAAGAGTTACTTGATGTGACTATATATATACATATATATGTAGTCATATATTTTCCTCTACAGTTGAAAGAGGACCTGGGTTGGTCGACATGTGTTTTTGTCTGTCTGCCATATTGGATTTAACAAACATTTTCTTGCCCTTACAGTGGATGGGCAGTAGCTGATGGCGTATTGTTGATGGTGTCCACTTCAGTGGTCTGTGTGCATTTGCAACATAAAAATCCACAACAAGCACAAGAAAAAGCCTATGAGACAGCCGTTCACTGCAGTCATCACTTTGTACAAAAGGCACATGGTGGCAAACTTCCCTTCTTATGCTTATTTTTTTTGTTAAAACTTTTTTCCTTGCCACTTTCAAAGTTCAAATATTTGGCGTGTCCAACTAATAGTTGCTCTGTCGGCAGATTCTGCACTGCAGCTTGTGGTTGTAGTGTGACAATTTGGAAAACTTTTTATGGGGCATAAATAGTTTGGCAGGGCAACAAATTTAGTAGTTTGGATATTAAAGGCTATACTTATGAGAACAGAAAAGTCTCAAAACTAAACTTCCTAACTATTTGTTATATTATTTTAACGTATAATTTTTTTGTTTTGTTTTTTGATGCTGCTTTCTGAAAAGTGTTGCTAATTTTGAGCCGCACTGATTCACTGACACACCCGACTTCTGACTCCTGTCCTGCAGACGTGGTGTTCTTCATCTACCTTTACCAGCGCTGGATCTACCGGGTCGATCCCAACAGAGTGAATGAATTCGGCACCAGCGGAGTGGACCACGCCCCGAACAACACCTCAGAGACCACGCCCGCTGTCACAGACAAACCAGAGGGGGAGAAAAAGAACGATTAAACACGGCCCCACACTTATCTTCTCCCGTGGCGCCGACCGCCAGGGCGAAGAGGACTTGTGGAAGTTAGTGCAGGGAGCGGAGTGGTCGTTTAGCCGTTTAATGGACGCCCCTACAGGAAAAAAAAAAAAAAAAAAAAAAAAAGTTGCAGTTTAACTGTTCCCTCTGATCTCTTTGTGGATCCACAGAGAGTCCTATTCAGTGTAGATTTGGTAAATTCTCATTTCTGTTCCACCACCCTTCCCTGCCCTCTCGTTTTGCAGTTCAAGTGAAGTAATACAAAACGTGACGTACTGTATTCTGTAAGATTTCTTTCCGGAGGGCGACGATGTGTTCGGCTAGATGTCGGAAGGGGAACAGTTGCCAGTTTTTCCTCCATTTTACTTTTTAAACAGGGAAGAAAGAGGCCAAGTGCAACTTTTCTTTGTGTCGATTCCTTGTGAATTTTTTTTTTTCTTTTCATTCCATGTGAGCGCCGTGTTTCGGGTTTGCCTAGAAACTTGCGTGTAGTGCTGGAGGAAACTGGAACAGTCCTGAGCCACGATGGAGGACGAGACGTGGTGACTGGAGACACGACGGACGACCCTGCGGGGCGCGCTGCCCGCCAGACAATGACTACTACACTCAATTTTAAAAATGGTTAATGTTCTAGACTTGAACACAGAGGGAAAAAAAGTAACAGCCTTGTTGGTATTAATATAAGATATTGATAATATTGATGACTTAATCTTGTTTTGCAGTCACTGAAACATTCTTTTGTATCTCCTTTAAACTGTACAGACTTATGTTAATAATTAATGTCCAAAATATTCAGAAACCAATGAGTTGGAAGCCTGATTTTTATGTGTCCCATCAGCCTGATGTCTTGATTTATAATTTTTTTTTTTCATTAATCTTCACCAAATCACCACAGCAGGTAGGAAACCAGGAAACATCAGATACGTTCTAACAGAATTACAGTCTCTCTTTCTTTCTTTTTTTTAAAGCTCTGTAAATCAAAAGAGAAGGGTTCCATGTTGGTGCATATTACATTTTTTGAGCATCCATGTTTATAGTAAAGACTTAAGTGTGATTTGAAATGTCTATGCAACGCTTTGTTTTTCAGATTTTACTTCTAATTTTGTGTTCAAGACCTTTTTTTTTCTTGCATGGAACTGCCTTTTATTAGTTTCTAATGATATTGAGGGATATATAATTTGTGTATTTTAAAAACATCCACATTATGAGCCAGTTTTTAATCCTCTTCTCTAAATCCCTTATGATTCTGGTATGTCTGCAGAACGACGGCAACCAGCATTCAGTTTCCTGCAGCCTAAAGATGACGGCTAATAGACATTCTGTTTGCAAATAAAATATTAAATGTTTAGAAAAATCGGCTGTATTTATACTGACCCATCAGTTTGGAAAATTGAAACTGATATAAAATTTAAGCGAGTACATCTTGACATAGGTTGAGGGACTATTCAATTGATCTTTTATCATTTCACTTCAGATAAATGCCTAAAAAATACATTCAGTTTTCTTCTTGATGAGCTCCACTCTCATATACACAGTTGCAGTGACTAAGTGTATACAGTCACATTATGCTTCATAACTTTTAACAATTAGATTTTTGAATTGATTTACCAGTTGGTGAATTGAACCTTTGCCAGCTGTCTCTTGTTACCAGGCTGTTTGTATCCATCACCAAGCTTCCAGCATATTTCTAGCTCAACGTTTGACCCACCTTATTGGCAGAACTGGTAGCGTTCGTGTAAACTGGTTGGTAATGGCCTCAATTGCATCAAAAAGTAATTTGACTTTGGTCCCAAACTCACCATATAGACAAAGTATGTGCATAAACGTTAATTAAGGATAAAGGAACAATATGTACATGTAATCTTTAGGCACTTTTTATTATAAGAATCTGTCTGGCTTCTTTATCCATCCATTCCAAAACTAGTTGTGGAGTTTGGGCTCATTGTTGGAACCCACAATTTTGTCAATGCTTCGCTCATCTAATTCTAATCATCACTGGAAAAATGATACAGGTTTTTGGAAGGTTTATGGCGAGTCTTATGAATGAATTTGAGCTCTGGAAGTAAAGATTGAGCTACTTTACCTCCATAAATATTTTTGGAAAAGATGAGGCGACACTTTTGAAACCTAAGAACGGTCCACCAACGGTCTGCATTACGCTGAAAAATACTACAGGGTGTGTTTTGCAAAACACACACTGCAGGGTGTGTCTTCCTACCAGCATTAGTATTGCATTGCACAAAGTACATAAAAAAAGCTCTAACCAGCAGCTTCATGGCGGAAACTTGTCCACTGTTGATGTTGCAACAAGGCAATGATCCAAAATGCACATCAAAACTAGATTTGAAATTACTAAAGCAGGCTATCATTACTGTTCATGTTAAAAAGTTGAGTGCAAACAAAATGATCCGGTCCATTTTTATTAAGCGTCACAAATCCTACAAAATTATGTCTGAATCTTATTAATGGCACTAAAGTTGTTATCAGGGTGCTGCATCAGAGGCATTGTTTAATTTTGAAGGATAAAATCCTTAAACTTGTGCAGCCAATTCCATCATCAGATGGAGCATTTAGCTCACAATCAAAAGGCCCAAATGACCTTGTTATTCTAATACCTACACCTATATTTTCTGCCTTGCCATGTTTAAATATAAGCCAACCATTTATTTACACCTGCATGCGTGGTGTCGCAGGTGTAAACAGAGGTGTGGTTTACAGAAATTTATGGTTGGGTTGTGCATTCATAATTCCAAAAATTCAGAAGAGGTTTTGTAAACATTTCTGTGAAGTTTTTGATGCGTCTCATAAATGAATTTGATCCTTACATGGTGGGTCACAGTTCTTGCTTGAAGCTGTGGTTGTAGATATTCCTGCAAACTGCACACCACAACCTGATCATGGCTGATTCTTTTGTGCAAGAGCCAGGCTTGCATTTCTTTAAAAGCCTATTTTTCAACTTGTTTATTGCTGGTATTTTACTTTGAAACTTGCTGGTTAAAAGCATCAGGATGAGGGATCCTGCAACACTGGCTTTGGGAGCATCTGCTGAGTCACTGCTTCCTCTAAATGCCTTGCTTTCGTTTTCCATTTTCTTTAAGTAGAATTTTCTCTTTGTGACCAGCAGGTGTCACTACTGCTAGCCAAAAAAAAAATAAAAAATAAAAAATAAGAAAAAAGCAATGACTGCCTCTGGGTGGAAGAAAAAAAGCTGTCAAAACACACAGTTAATGACGTCATCTTTGGGGACGTGCAGAGAGGTTATTGTTGAGCTACATGAGAAATTCCCACTTTTCTTTTTGTGAGTGAAGGAAGTGTCACCAGAGGTTGATGCAACCAGGAGAAACATTAAAAGTGTTGCGTCTGCCTGCTGCTCGAAATTTATTTGGCTTTCAAATAGTTTTGCATGAGATCCGAGGCGAGAATCCGAAAGCGAAAAGACGTGAGCTCAGATTATCTTATGGAGAGAGAGAGAGAGGTTTATGCATCAGGTCTACCGTGAGCTGAAGACGCTGCAATTAAACTGTAAAACCTGCAGCTGCTCCAGGAGGGGGGGGGGTTCCCGCAGGAGAGGTGACGCGACGCTCGGGGGATTTCCGCGAAGCGCGGCGTGGGCCAATCAGAGCAGAGCACTAAACTTCATCTCTTGCCGAGTCTTCGAGCTCTTCCACACCTCTGCGCGGCTCAGACTCCTTGCTGGTGACAGGACCGACACCCTCAGTGACAGGTTCTCGGTCGAGAGCAGGGCGAGGAGCTTCCTGGACTCATCCGGGTTGAGCGCGCGACGGCCGACTTCAGGGTCTCCTTTCATCCTCCCGTGAGATGAAAGAAATGGACTTCTTCAAAGGTAGGGGCGGTTAAACGTGTTCCCGTCCGCTTGTCGTCGTCTAAAACCCCGCGTCGTCCTCCTCGTACGTGTGTTTCTATTCATTTCGGCCTTATTTTCCACAGCCGAGGAGCCAACACCCAATTCGGGGATCAACGCGTTTTCGCACATGTGTACTCCCAATGGCGAACTCGGTGAGTTTTGTTTTTTGATGTTATCTCCGATGCTTTTAACGCTCCAGCTGCTACACAGAGGCATGACAGACATGGTTACGCTTCGTTGTGTCCCGACCTGACCCCAGTAAACAACGACTCAGATCTTCTACCGGCGTTTCATCTCATCTATTGATGCCCTTCCTTCCTTTTTTTTTTTTTTTTTTTTTTTGCAATAACGTTTAAATAGTTTTCAAATGTATTTGGCCATCTTCAAAAAAATTGTTTAAATGATAAGCCATGAAATGTAGAATTCAGGTCTTGTCTGTGTGCTTTGCTTACCTTTGTTTATCTTTGTTTACCTTTCTGTGTCTAGAAGGCAGGAAGCCGCACATGTCAGGCCACATCCAAACAGAAAACCTGAGCCCACCGTTTATCTCTTTGCCCTTTACACTTAGTGTGGTGTGAAAGCAACACCCCTGCACCACCCTGGTGACACGTGGTGGTGGCAGCATCATGCATTAAGACGTTTGAAGCTTAAAGCAGGACAATTCAGAAAGACAACGAAACATGGTGAAACTAGGGCAGTTTCACCATCTAAATCGAAGTGGCAACCTGTGTGGTCTCTCTGTTATGTCTGTCAGAGTAAAGCTGTTTTTCAAACAGCATTACACACATCCCATAAAACCCAATGAAAAGCCTTGACGTTTGTGCTCAAATGTGGAGAAGTTCAAGGGATAAAAGCATTTCCAGTGATAAAGTAACCTTTCCTGAGGGATGCATTTAAATTAGTGTGAAGAAACCTTCATACGCACCTGAACACTTTTTTGTATTTTTTTTGTATCCTGTTGTTTACTCCATTGACCCGCATCCTTTTTAAATGTGATTAGATTAAATAAACCCCTCATTTCTCAAACCGAAGTGTTTAGTGAGCTCTTCATTTTTATTTTTCTGCTTTTTGTTTTTGTTTTTCTGGCACGCAGACCTAATCACAGAAATCATCAATGGCTGCAACGAGCAGCAGAACGGCTCCCTTCCTGGCCCGCCTCCTCCACCTCCTCCTCCAGACCGCTACTGGAGGACGATGGAGGGTGAAGACGTCCTGAACCAGGACGGCTTCCTGCAGAACCTCCAAGCGACGTCCAAACCCGTGCTGGTACCCAGAGGCACCGCAGTGAGTAACGCTTTGGATGCTTTCGTGAAAAGTGTTGTTTTGCTTTTTAAGCTGAACTAGAAAAAAGGTTTATTTTGCATTAGTTTTAAAATAAAAACATGATTTAAAAAAAGTGGGCCCAAATTTCTTGCCGATGTTTTACGTCAGCACTGCTAGGCCTGTCACAATGATCAATAAATCAATTGATCGTGATAAATTAAAACAAACTCAATCATTTCCATTGGTGTAATTTATCGTTTATCTTTGTTTTCTCTCTTCCTACCAAAAACCAGATGATAAAACTCCTCAGTCTGGCGCGCCCATCTTAGGACAATTTCGTCTTCATAATTCATTTTCTTTGTTGTTTTACTTATTAACATTTGATATTTAAAATGTCTTCCAGTTCCAGTGTTGAATGTTCATTAATATTTAAAGTTCACTGATCTTATAGAATTTCTCCTTGTTTTGCAGATAGGTTATATTATCTAAAAATGGTCAAAACAGCAATATTGTCGTTTATCGCAACAATTTCTGGAACAATTGATCACCCAGTGAAATTTGCTATTGTGACTGTATCAGCAGTTGCAGGAAACTCCTTTCTGCATGGAGTTTGCTAATTGATTACTCCAAATTGGCCTTGGGTGTGAGTGTGTTTTCATGGTTGCGTGTTTCTCTGTTGCCCTGTGATGACCTGGTGACCTCTCTGGGGTGAACCCTGCTGTTCGCCCAATGACCCAGAATGACCCTGCAAAGATATGCCAGTGGATGGCTGTTGAGTCTCTTATGCTCGTTTATTAAACGTCCTTCTAATAAACCATATGAAATATCCTTTTCTAAAGTAAAGTCTAGAGCAAAAAGCTAGTAACTTTGTCAGCTAGTGAGATGACTCAGGAGGTAGTTAGCTGAGTTTGATTGGAGATATTTAATCCATTGAACTTCTTGAACCTGTGAAAATATAGACTTACAGCCCATAGTCAGCATTTGTATGGCTTAAACATGACTTTAGGTCAGGAACTAAATGTCAAAAATTATATTTAAGCTAATCGAATTGTTGGTTATGAGCATGAATAAATGCCGTATTTGTGGATCATTTAAGGTCTATTACTACTTTTTGACAAATTGGCACACAAATTGAGCATGTCGCTGTCTTTTGTTTAACTTTTGTCACAGTATTAGTCACCGTGTGATTCAGCCCGGGCTGCTTCTGGTAATCGGCCTCTTTTTGTGG